CTAAGATTTGTAATGATGTCAAGTCAAATCCCCACCTTGGCCCGGGGTGTGGGGGGGTCGGGGTTTCAATTGATAAGTGCATAAATGGAACACGACATTCCGTTCGGAAATTCCAACCGGGAAAACGGGACCACCTTTTTAGATTTTCCACTTTTTCTGGGAATTTTCCAGTGGGACGAACCCCGGACGAACCGACGAAACGTGTTCCATTTACCGCCGAACCGGAAATTCCGGAAATTCTGACTAAATGGAAAGCGCCCACCATTTCCATGGGAAAACCGGGAATTGCGTTTGGTTGGCGCCATTTGTCTTGGGAAACTTGAGAAAACATGGGCTGTGATTTGTGGAAACGCAATTTTTCTAATTTTGTCACTCTTTTCAGCTGATTTGGATATTCTGTTTAGCGGTTCGTTCTCCCACCTCGTCAAATTTTTGTAGTTATGCACAAGATTTCCACGCGGGTGTTCTGTGTATTGGTAAGCACTCTAGCATAAAAGAGAATGGACCACACTTACCAGAAACCTAATCCAAGAAATCCAAAGGCCAGCACAGTACTAAGTCCCTTTTGGATTGCCAACACGAGGCTCTTTAGTTTATTTAACTGTGCATTGGCTTCCAGCTTCCCAGAGTACCTGTGGATAATAACAACCTCATTAGTATCCGACCCTTCGACAACCTGAAGCGGACAAAAAAAGGCTTAAGCTAAACTAATGTAAATGAGCCCGTAAAAATTGGAGCCGATACCCAAGTGGCGTGGAGGCGAGACTCCGCCGTGCTCTTACACTTGTGGGGCCAAACAGAGAGTTTGAATCTTGCCGGCAAAGTTAGGTAAAATCCCTAATCTCATTTTGTAAAATACTACGAAACCACCGGTACCGTTCAAAAGAACAGCTGAAGAGGCTTCATTAGAATGGTCATATGACAGAACTTTGTCCACAGACTCATAAGTTAGAGATGAATAGTAACTATCGCCAAAAGTTGCTCTGCGAGGGAAATGTTTTGAAGGAAAGATACCTTTATTTTATCTGGCTTTATTGCTAAATGAAAGCCTCTTAATTTTGAATAATATATAAACAAATAAAAACTAACGATATGAACGGCCGACCTTTCGGTGACCTCATGATGCCATTACAGGAATGAGTAAATGACAACGACTTCAAACTGAATGAAAGGAGTTCAAGTTGTGTAAATTTACACACAGCAAAGACAAAGATTTTAGCAGGGAATGAATCTGTTTGCACGTAAATTTAATTTTATTTAAACATAGCCGAGAGCTACATTTCATTCTCACTGAAATACAGGCTAGCGGTTACGCTCAATGATTGATTCAAAGCTGGACAGAGATTGTATCTTCCTTACCGTGTTTTTTCCATTTTCTCTCCCGCGTAGGAAGCCACGGTTTTGATCGAACCCAAGCTCTTTTTTGCCATTCCCTTGGCGCGATGCATGAGCTCATCCTTTTGCTTCATGACAAAGTTTTGAACCTGTCGTAAGGAAATTATACCTTATATGATCTTTTGAACAGATACAAGATTAAGGGCCCGTATGCAGTACATGCGCGCTTAGCATGAAGTTACTGAAAAGCCTTGTTCACGTAAGTGCTAAGCATATCCCTACTAATGCTAGCCTAGACGCTCTGCCCCTCACATCAAACAAGCAGCAGTTCTACTATTTAACTCTTTTAACACTTGCGCCCTAGTGCCAATTTGTTCCGGCCAGATAGGGCTCGAAGCTCAGGACCCTGGAGGCTCTGATCCCATACCCGGGTGGACGGAACAGTCATAAGCCTTGGATTGGAAGGAAACAAGCTAAGGGAAGCAAAACCCTGAATGGTCCACTAGAGGTTTGGGGGTTAGGCTGCGGCTGATAATCCACTCCCACAAACCAATTATATTACGGAAATCAGAATTGCTCAAAGATAATGTTAAGACCTTATATGACTACAGACATGACGAGGTGTTGATGACTACAATGACCATGACCATGACGACGACGATAATTAGGGACCCTAAGCAATAGGGACCTTAAGATCCGAGGACGGCGACGGCAGAGAAAAAGTCGCTGAAAAAGTGAATTCGCGTTCTTTCAATCTTCATCGCGATTACTCCAAGTCACTAACTTTGTCAAAAAGTAGGTTAACCCTCCTATAGGTAAATTCCCAAGAACCATATTCAAGTTTAGAAAGAGAGGGAAAATTTCGTCGTCGCTTGTGTACTTCCTCTGTCAAGGTGAAATTAGGCATTTTCACGTCGTAGTCGTGCAGTGACGGCAAAGAAATGAACAAAAAAGCGTGATTGTTGTTTTACTATTGTTTTTGTGGTGTTCCCGTTGCCGTCGCCGTCGTCGGATCTTAACGTCCCCAATGACGACGACGGCGGCGGTGAAAACGTTGGTTAAAAAAATAAATTTGCGTTCTTTCAAACCCAATCGCGCCTATTTGGACCCGCTCAATATGTCAAATGCAGGCAACTTTTCCTAGAGTTGAATTATGAAGGATTTTATTCACGTTCAAAAAGAGGAAGGAAAATTCGTCGCCATATGTCCATGTCCTCCATAAAACGTCAAACAAGGGGGTTTCACGTCGAAGTCGTGCAGTGCACGTCAAAGAAATGTACTTGTTTTGGTCATTAAACCCATTGTTTTTTTGAAGTCGTCGTTGTGGTCGTCGTCGTAGTTGCTTAAGCTCCCGTTAATAACGACAAGGACGACGACAATGACGAAGATGATAATGGCGAAACTGGAAACAACAATTCATTCCCTGCACTGCATCGCAGGCAACTCTGGCCATCAAGATACACGAATAAATGTTTTAGACACTAACAATACCGTAAAATGTGATTTTTGACCTAAGAGTTTCTAGAGACCTTGATGAATGCAAAAGGAAAGGTCAGGACAGGGCATAAAGCTACACTTTGATCTGCTCGCACAAAAACTCGACCTCGATGGTTTTTCGTCATGAAAGTGGAGTAAAAAAATCTTATTTTCTAATTGAATGGTGACAATTTTACCTTGTCCGCGACTCCTTGAACAATTCCTAGGACCGGAGCCGAAGCCATCATCACTAGGGTGATTTTCCAATTTTCAATGAAGCTCACTAGAAATCCGGACATGATATTGGACACGCTCTGAATCATGTACGCGATCTCCCCGCCCAGTCCACCACTCAGCGCGTCTAAGTCTTTCTGACTGATAACATCTCTAGGATCACTAAACAGCAAGTAATGTTATTGCAGTAAAATGGTCAGCACGTTCCTCTAAGCAAGAGATTGAAAGTGGCCTATGAATCCCAACTGTCAATTTCAACGGAACATCTCAGTTGCCAGAAGCAATAAGCAGCTATTGTATTGTTCAATCATGGACAAAAGTCTTGGGACACTTTTGCATTTCTGGCGCATTTTCCAATTCCAACATGCCCAACCCCTCGCCTCACGCCATAAGCAATGTTGGACGCGTGTATCCAGAATTTTTTCCGACTTTCAACTATGAATAGGGTGGGGGGAGGGAGAACTGTGGGAAAATTTCGAAAAGAATACATTGTTTTATGAGGGAACACAGATATTACAGAAAATTATGAATGCTACATTGGTATCCTAAGGACTTTTGTCCAAGATTGGTTGGTTGTTTGTTTTTTACTTAGTTTTTCTCAATGTTTCTGTCCCATTTGAGTTGCTGAGGAAATACAGTCTCTTTGAGCGAATGGTGTCTTCACATGAATGCTTCAAAGGCCATAAGTTACATATAAGATCATGTCTGCCTCGTTAGCTCAGTGGTTAGAGCACTGGTCTTGTAAACCAGGGGTCGAGAGTTCAAATCTCTCACGGGGCTCATAATGAATTTTATATACCCACCATTTTACGTTTTGTTTTTTCTTGCTCGCTTAACTTACAGAGGTAATGTTTTTTCCGATTCCCGCTAAAAATATATTTCCAGTACTTTTACTTAGATTTGATCAAATCCCAAATTTTAAGTTAAAATGGATGAGTTCAAGTACTAAGTTCAAGTACTAAGTTCAAGTTGCAGCGACAGAAATTTATTTTGAGTAACATAATTAGAAGAAAATACAAATGGCTTGTTTTAAAGTAAAATTAGATTTCTTTCAACTTGAATTCCTCACTTACAACAGATGTTTGTAAGTTTACACTGGAATCTATAGAAATTGTGTGAGCCTCGTTAGCTCAGTGGTTAGAGCACTGGTCTCGTAAACCAGGGGTCGAGAGTTCAAATCTCTCACGAGGCTAACTTGCTATTTGTTTTATTTTGATTTTTTTGTCCGGGAAGAAAAAAAAAAGAATCTTTTTTTCTACTTTTCTAAAATGAATAAACTATAAACTGAGTCAATAAATACCTGAACGTGAATGTGAATGAATGAATGAAAGAAAGTAAGAACGAATGAATGAATGAGTGAACTCTTGTAATTGCATCCGCAATACTCACGTGATGTCCTCTAGATTGACCACGCCCTCGTGTATCTTGGTATCATAAAATCCGGGGTCTTTATCCAAAACCGAGTCTGTAAAGTTCTCGCTCAATGCCTTCACCCCCCTCTCGGACGCAATGTTCCACAGGACCGTCTGCCCGTAAGCGAAAAGCAGGGTCGCAATTGCTGCGTACACATAGTAGAGGGCGTATTTACGCATGTTTTCTTCGACTTTGGTTTCAAACAAACGGCAATTCTCCGTGATATTGCGCAACGTGTAGCTTATATTACACGTTGGAGGAAGAATTACTGCTTTTGGCGTTGGGGGAATCTCACTTGAAATACTCTGCGCTTTACCGATCGCGATGCCAGCGTCAGCCGCTTTTGAACCAGATCTTTTTCTAATCGGATTAAGCCCGTCATAAGTTCCAATCTCTTTTCGACTTCTGTTGGACTTCCTCTCTTTCCGTCTACTTACTTGGACACTAACTAGACTGCCAGTTCCATTTCTAACTGGCTTATTTTCGCTAATGTCAGTTTCCGCATTGACAAAACGTTTCTCTGTTAAACGCCCTAACTCAACATGAGTTCCTCTAACATCAATTCCCGCAGTTCCTTCACCTGTCAGAACGGTACCTGTCATTCTAACCGATGCTACTCTCTCGAACGTCTTGTAGACCAGCTGTTGTCCATTTAGCCCCACAACTACCACTCGGTTTATTGTTTCGTTCAGCAAGACTTCAATCGATTTGGCGTTCATGACATCAATTTCTCCTACCTTGGGTTCAATCATTTCCAGATTAATCAGGTGTGTTAACATGATTGTCGCGCCACTCTCGTTCAAAGTGCAATTACAGTTTTTCCGGATAACAAGCTCGTCTGTCAGGTTTCCGTATATCATGGCTCCCAGTGAGGGGATCAGTCCATTTACCACTGCCATTAACGAGCCACATATCATAAGAACACGGGAGATCACGTCTGAAACAAACTGGGTATAGAAAACAAGGAAATAAAGTTGCAATCAAACTTAACCATCTCTAGTCTCCCTCGCAGCCGTTTTTAGTATCGTCACGCAACGCTCCTCCCCACAAAGGAGCGTTGCGTGACGATACTAAAAACGGCTGCGAGGGAGACTAAACCATCTCACGAATAAAAAATTCACTTTGAGTGCCAGTGTATTTAGCACGAAAGTACTCTAATTGGGGACACTATTTTTACGTGTCCTACTGGAAACGGGGCTGCCATTTCACGTGGTAATCCGATCCACGCGAAGGTCTAACCGTTTGTAAGGCAAAGTCACTACCTTTAGTTCGCAGGTATTTTTAAGACCCTGAGTATTGGTCCGGCCCTGGGAATCGAATCCGCGACCTCCTGCTCTGCAGTCGATCGCTCTACCGACTGAGCTAATGTTGTTGTTTATCGACGTCACAGGCAATATTACGCACACAAGGCAATTACTAGCATGGTGTTCCCTTTTCTCCAGTTAAGAAAGATGCGTTGTCGCCTATTGTCAAGCACCCTAATCTATTTTCATATGTCTTTCTTTACGAACCACGCGCCCTGTTATGGATTCTCATACACTATTATTCTAAAGTTATCAGCAATATTAAGTCACATCTCAGTCGACTGGGAAGAACGTGACAACTTCAAATTCCGTTTTGCACCTCATGAAACTTATGATTTAATAACCGACAGCCAGAAAGAGTTAAATTTAAAGTTTATTTCAGGAAGTCAAGAACAAAGGTTTCAAAATTCAAATTCCGTTTTGCACCTCTTGAAACTTATGATTTAATAACGACAGCTAGTAAGTGTTGAATAAGTTAAAAGATCTAGTAGCCTGAATCGGATTCAGATAAGTGCATCATTCAGGAAGTCAAGAACAGAGGATTCAAAAATCACATAAATCAGTCGCAGGATTCGTATCAATCACAAACAATTTCTCGGGAACGATGACAAGATCTTAACTAAGCCGCGGAGAGACATAGTGCTTGGCAATTTTTCTTAGTTCGTACTTGACATGCGTCGTAACCACTGGTTTCTGTACGACTCGTAGTGGTAACTTGACACGAGGTCGCGAGGAGTATGTCAGTGTAGTTCTTTCGCTTAGGAAATACGTTTCCAGGTGATCACGATTTGACACCTAGGGGCACGTGACATCACAATTTTCTTATTTACCGCCAAGCCTAGCCTGCGAAGCGCAGACGTATTTCCGGTCGTCGCTTCTCGCCCTCCGAAAATAGTGATTGGCTAAAAAGCTCCTACGTCACGGAAATCGTTGCTGCTCGGGTTCACAGACGTTTATTTTCGGAGGGAGAGAAGCGACGACCGGAAATACGTCTGCGCTTCGCAGGCTACACCAAGCCTGGAACGCGTTTCCTTTTCAACTGTACTCTGGAGAAGTTTTGCCTTGTTAGTTTTGTTCATATCCGCAGCGCCAAACAAACATCGATAACGAGTACTGGTATTTCTAGAATATTTAAAACTTACAACAGATGAAGGCCAAACTGATTTTGAATCTTATAACAGTCAAAACTTAAAATATAAAATCGCTTTGCTCACCGTTTCCCTTCCGTTTTTGTTCTCTTCAGGCGTCATAATCTAAACAAACTTTCGTTAAACCATCGCCCAACGTAAAAATATCCACGGCATTTTTCTCTCGTCCAAAGGATCCCCGAAACCTTCTAATTCAATAAAAAACCGACACATGCTGCGCGTGACCTTTTTGAATTTGTCAATTTCCACACGAAATTAACACAAATGTACTTTTTGGTAACCGAAATAATTGTTTAAATGTTTACTAGTTGTAAGTCAATCGTTTGACAGGTTTTTCTCGCCTCGAACTTAAAAACAAATACATTACCGAAAGAAAATATTTCTTTCATCCACAACTTATTATTCATTGATTGGATAGCTGAAAAATAACAAGATCAAAAGGAAATATCATACTTATTTTAACGTAATAAAAGCGGGCATTTAACTTACCCGTGCAAGTGACTCTAACTCTCCGTTCGTATCACTATTCATCTCAGACAATAGAGGAAACAAGCAATCACCAAAAAGAATTTTTAAAAAAGACCGAAATATTATGACCTCTAACCACAACAACGAAAGACCGTAATAGCCATTACTTCGAGTCTTTCCCGTTTTACGGCCACTTGAAAAAAAGGTGTGTCGCAAATAACATTTTTATAGATCATATTCAATTTAAAGGTAATAAAATTTAAATCACATTGCCTTACAAAAGCGGATAATTATTTTCCCTTTTACCCCCTGCTATAGTTTTCCATCCCATACCAGAATTTTTTACCGGTGGTGACTTTCAACAAACGACTGGAATTGTCTTCCTTTTTCTTTGATAAGACACTTGAAAAGCGAATCGTTCACCGGAGCATTTTAACGGGGAAGAATAGAATCTCATCTAAAAAGTTTTTTTTTTGTCATAAAAGAAGATTCAGCTGTTTTCTTTTTTTTCTTATTCTCACTAACTACTGTTGAACTAAGTGTTAAGTTTGTATTTTTGTCAAGTGATTGTCGGACAGTAAGAAATGAAGTAATTACTTCCTCGTCTTCGAACGTTTTCGCCAATTCATTGTTTTGTGGCTAACATGAGGAAAAGGCGAACAGACGCTTGCATCAAGACGTCAAACTCGAAAAGACTTCTGGTAGTGCCAGAAGACCCCTTTTGACCAGTGAGGGATTGAGAAATGAAGCTTCAGCAAAATGAAAAGAGCATGGAAAGAGAATCTTTGACAGTGACAGCCCGTGGAAACTGGCCAAACACGGTCTTCTTTGAAGTAAGAAAAAACAAGTGAAATGTTTCCTTCTACCAGAAACTACCCTAGACGCTCAGACTCTGGTAGTTATTTTTCTCTAAAGCTCAATTCTGAAACGCTTTTGATAATAACCATCTGTTAATCAAAATCGGTCCGCAAGATAACTGAGATGATTATAGCCAACTCGGCGCTACGCGCCTCGTTGGCTATCTATCATTTCATATCCAACGCGCCCTCGTGGAATAATTGTTAAATATTATGATAATTTTATATTGACTGTTATGTATACTCAGTGTCCAAAGTGCAGTATTTTACAATCTCGTGGCTAAAATTCTATCGTAACTAACTGCATTACAGTGTTCACTTTCTTTACTTTTTGCCCTTTTTCAGCACGCATTTTTTCTTGAGTACCTTTTACGGAGTCTAATTTGGCTACCCGAAACGAATATTTCAAACCATATCATGGGTTATAACTTACGTGTATTGGTGAAATGTTACTCTTGATTTGAACTGTATTTTCTTCCTTTTCAAACATTATAGCACAAGACAAATTTGGGAAATATGGATTAAACCAAGGATAAAATTGATCCACAACACAAAATTGAACTGGAACATCTACATGTACTAGACTGTCAGTTAAGTAGCATTTTCAGCACCAGGTACATCATAGGAAAGGTTAATTGTAAAAAAGTATGTTGTCACTTGTGTTTCGGGTAGGTCAGATATTTGGAATTATTTACAACTTTGAGATGTCAGTGATCGTAAACAAGAAAGAAAATTATGATGGTAAGGGCCCGTAGGAGATAAGAGTTTTTTGTGATCCGCCGATTTCACGTTGAAAATGACGTTTTGCTAGCCAGATTGTGCGCAGGAAAATGATGCGTAACAATAATAAGAGAGGATGTGAGAAAAAATAAAATGTGAATAATAAATGCCCCGATGATATATTAACAATGAGATGTGAAAAAATTATAAAGAAACAGAAAGGTGTGACAAAATTAAATGCTTAAAGTTAGTAAACAGTCGATGGTGATTGGTTGCTACTATCACACATATAGATTAACGCGTGGTCTCAAACAACCATTTTCCCACTTTTGAATAATACTGAGAAACCATAACTCTACTATTGTGGGAAGATGTCTTGGGTCGACGAATATAGAGAGACCATCAGATACCTGTCAAAGGCAGAAGTTCTACTTTGACGTACATTGTAGACCACAACAAACTTTTGTATTTAAATGGACTACCGAAACAGTAATCACAGCACCAACAAGACGCAGCAGAAAAACGTAGAAAATCCAAGAAAAATCATAAAAGAAGGAAAAACCCTGCACTGCAGGACACAACAAAGGCTCTTTTAGGAGCCACCAAAAGAATAAAAGTCTCTAACCAGTAAGAGTACTTTTTAAGTAGTATTTGACGACTACACTTCGTTGTGAAAATATGTTCGCATCAACATTCCTATTTCATAAACTGCAGACGATTGTTCTTACAGTTTTGCCGTAGAAAAGTTTTGGTTTTTGCGCTTGTGTTGGTTTATGGTTTATAGAGGAATGTGTGGTTTTGCGCTTGTGTTGGTATATCGTTCATAGAACGAGGAATGTGTGGCTTTGCGCTTGTGTTGGTTTATGGTTTATAGAACGAGGAATATTACATTTGGAGTGTGCCTTTCTTGGTTTTTGCGCTTGTGTTGGTTTATGGTTTATAGAACGAGGAATATTACACTTGGAGTGCGCCTTTCTTGTTTTTTACGCTTGTGTTTGTTTATGGTTTATAGAGCGAGGAATATTACATTTGGAGTGCGCCTTTCTTGGTTTTTGCGCTTGTGCTGGTTTATGGTTTATAGAACGAGGAATATTACACTTGGAGTGCGCCTCTCTTGCCGTGCGGATCGTACGGATCGAACGAACCGTATCGCACTGTGCCTTGATGTAATAACGAGATACACGCTCCGTATGTCTACGGACTGTACGGATCGAACGAACCGTAACGCATTGTGCCCTGATGTAATAATGAGACGCACGCTCCGTATGTCTTCGGACCGTACGGATCGAACGAACCGTAACGCATTGTGCCCTCATGTAATAATGAGATGCACGCTCCGTATGTGCTCAGCATACGGACCGTTAGTAATAGTGACGGTTTGTGCAGAACGTACGGTCCGTTAACTGCTCTTAACGGTCGGTAACAGTGCGGCAGTATTGGACACAAATATAAGAACCTTTTCAGCCTGGCAAAGAAAACATAGGTTCTAATACAAAAACATTACTCCAATGTTGATGGTCAAAATTCTGGATTTTAATTGTATGAGAAATTTCTGACAAAAAAGTTATTGTGTTTATGTTTTCTTTGACATGATTTACATTTGTTTGGATTTTCATTAGAAATATGTTTCCATAAAGCATTATACATAATTAGAACAATATGTCTACACTACGACAACCTCTGAAAAATAAAAACCTATTAGTAATGTTAACAGGACTGAGGAGTCCAATTCGTTCTGTAATCATACGAGTGATTAACAAAATCGGACGACCGCGTAGCGAGAGTCCGATTTGTTTAATCAAGAGTATCATTACAGACCGAATTGGACGACACGAAGTTCTGTTGCCAATTAATCATAACTTAAACAAAATTTTTGAAGAAAGGCTCTTTTTTTAAATTTCCAATTCCAATTCGCCAGCAGTGAAAAAAAGAGCCATTTAAGCGCGCGCGTGATGGCGCGTACTGTCTTATTAAACTGTCCAATTAAGGCTGAAATCAGGACAGTTGATAGCCATAGTTATAGTTATAGTTATGATTAAGAACCTAATCAACCTGAATTGTGAAAAAGTAACCTTAAATATAAGAACCTTTTCAGCCTGACCTCGAAAATTTTAAGTTCTTATATGCGGGTGTTTACTGTAGTAAGAGAGAGCCTGAAATGGGATAGCAGGGGGAAAGGAATTTATTTGGATGTTCCATTTGTTACAGTACCACAGAAAAGAACTTCTCAGTAGCTTTCAATTCAATGGTCACACTATGGGATTTGATCCAAAACCTCACTGGGGCCCCGCTTAATAACTCAAGCTCCAATCAGCCAATCGTTTCAATGGACTCAAATGCGATATTTATTGCAACTTACTTACAATTCAAAAAAATAACAGCATCTATCAGAAAAGAGACTCTAAATACGTTAAAAAAATATCAAAGTTTGCACAACAAATTCTTGGTCTTTTCTCTTCTGGTTTAGAAACTTTTAAAGACCTTAGAAGTGAAAGAGAAGTTTTTAGAGAACATTCTATGAACTAATCTTAGAGCTTGCTGCTCTTATAATAACATCACTTGTAAATATTTTTTCGAAACTAAGGAATTAGAGGAACTTTTAGCTTCGCTTGCTTAATAAATTCAACCTAAGAGCTATTTATTTCTGCGCCCGCGGTGACTGCCACCGTCCTCTCAATGCTTGCACAACAACTGACATCACTTCAGTCAGATTTTGATGCGCTTCGAAAATCTCTTCACTTGACAAATCACCTAAGACTTCCGGTGACGCAAGATCTTTCAACGAACGTAAACAATCACAAAACTTGTCCCTATCTCGACAGTTCTCTTCTGAGCATGCGGCGACTGCAGCGCCTACTTCCGCAGTTTGATCGCAAGTGATTTGAACAGGCAATGCTGTAGTGAAAAGTTCGTTTTGTCTTGACTCCTCGTGGCCTTTCTGAGGCACCTCGCATTCTCCTCCATCTTCTTGTTCTTCATCAATAGAAAGCACTTCGTCTCTTTCTATTCTTTCGCGCAAAAAGAGTTTCGTCGGTAGAGCGTGTGTATCCCTCTGTGGGGTGGACATGTCAGCGGTTACCTCGACACCGCTAGGGTCATGCGTGGAAAGTGGCGGAGTGAGTGACTCTCCCATATCTGAAACCTTGTTCACTTGATCAGCTGGTTCTCTTACAACGGGATAAAACTTGGCAGAAAAGTCAACATTTTCATCGTTGTTATCTGCATCCATTTCGTTCAACTCCAACTCTTTACCAGATGCGACGCTTTCATCTTCTACAAATCTTACATTCTCAGAGTCGCAAGACTTGTTTTTCTCATCTGATTTACTTTGCTCCTCCATCATATCTGACTCTTTCTCTACACTGACCGCCGGTTCCATTTTCTCACCAACAGAATCCTCCACTCTTTCTGAGTTATCTCCAACACCAGTTTCGTTTTCAAGAGGAGTGGAGGTGATAGTGGAGTACTCAGTGGAGGTGACAGTCCCTGCTACAACAAAGATAAAGTTTGAATTTAGTGGTGTTATCTGTCAATACACTACGTGAAGTAAACACTACGACGTTCCGGCAATGCTGTCTTCAACAGGAAAACATATCTATACACACAAGTTGTTGTTAATCCTTTAAGCCCTAAGAATGATTTGCATCAAATTTCTCCTTGTGATATCAAAGCTTTGTAAAACAGAGTGGTCATGAGAATTACGGACATGAATATGACTGATATTTTATTAACTTCTCCCCACTACTTCTTTAGGAAACGAATAGGGGCAACAAATGAGAATTCAAATTTTGATCTTAGGGAGAGTTAAAGGGAGCCGCAGACCTCTGGTAGGGGAATCCAACAATGAACAAGCAGCTAAAACAAGCTGAGCTTGCTCTTTCCTTTTAATTACATTGTTCCTATTTTTATTATTAGTTTAATTATTATAATTTATTAATTCATTTGGTTTCTTTGTACCTTTCCCTTGCAGATATATAAACGCTTATTAATAACGTTAATTTCTTTCAAAGAATTGTAACTACGAGTTGTTTTTTCCGACCATTTGAAAACATATTTCAATCTTTTTTCGCTGATAAAGACAGCATTACCGAAACATTGGAGTTTATACTTCAGTTAACAGCGTTTTTTCTACAATTTGCTGGTACATTCAACAAAGCATACTTTTTGTTATCTGTAAACAAACTAAGTCATCATCATCAATCTTTATTTATACACGAAATCGTATCACTTTTACATGGTCTTCAAAGGAATCGTGTGTAAAATTCGACTACGCATCTATAGAAACTGTGAAATTTAAATTGTGGTAGTGGTATTTGAAACAAAAGTACTGCTCCGAAGTTTTCATTTCAATGGTCTAGCCTCAAGGTTTCATCGACAAAACTCAAACTTTACCCTGATTTAAAGTTAGAACCAAATACCCTTCTCACGTAACTCTCTCTTTGGGGAGGGGGGGGGAGAATTAAGCAATGGCAACTGTTGAGGCAATAAATGCAAGGCATTAACTAGAACTATAAAACTGAATGGTTCGTTGATATTAAAGCATGATATCTATCACACCTCCAGAAAAATGAGATAAGATAGCATCGTTTCTGGAAAGTTGACCTTTTTGCGTCAACTATATGTCTATGGTAACTGTAAGGCTCAGTTCAACTTCGTTAATTACACTATATGTTTTCGTGTGAACGCAAACCGGAAGCAAATGCAGCCGCGGCTTCGAGCTTCCCTGTTTGACCGCGTGTTCCTTGGACTAGAATACGCAATATGCCTCACCTTCTTTGGGCTCTGTATCATCTTTAAGCGAAGCGTCTACCAACTTTGTCACGAGTGTCTTGGAATTCTTCCCACGCGTTTGATGAAACCTTTGAAGCGCTTTCTTCAGTGTTGGCACCTTAGGCGATTTAATCGGCAAGTTTTTCACCTGTAGGAAAAACACAACTCTTTCAATTCTAAATTTCCCTGTCAGACCACAAGTTTAATACTTTCTCAACATGACTTACAAAACCTGTCGAGCAAAGCAGGGTAGAATGAAATTGTCAACGCTTTCATTTCCAGTACGTGGAGGACCAGTTCAGGGTAGAAGAGCACCAACTTAAATTATCAAAGGCTGCGGGGTGGAGACCCGGGGGGGTATTCAACAAAATTTTATTCGGGGAGACTCCATCAAGAGGTCCAACCCCGTACCCTTGTACAGGGCTCGAAGTTAACTTTTTAGCGCACTTGCAAAGTTTTGCTAGTAAGAATTGTTTGCACTAGCCAACTGGCTAGACCACTAGCAAATTCTTTCCCTTTGTTTGGGAGACATGGATGATTCTAACTCGCAAACGTTTGCTAATGGATATTTTTCTCACTCGCAGATTATCAATATCATTCGCATTTTCCGAGTTTGCGAGCGTTATTTTCGAGTCCCGTTGTATATACCATTTTTGACAGAAACGGTACCTCTTTCGTATACCTTCTATTGACAAATGGTACCTCTTTCACACACCTAATTTAGAACTTTTCATCCGTTTTAACTGCTCAGCTGTGAATGCACTGTTTTTTATGTGTTTTCTCGAGTTTCTCACAGCCGTAAAAAGGGCGAACAGATTTTTTTTTTTGGATAGTTATTTTACTGTTAAAGTTTATAGTGTAATGTAGTGTAACGTAACGCATTTGTAATATATTGTAATGCAATGTTGTGCAACGCCATGTAACATTAGTATTGTAGCGCTGTGGAGCATTAAATAAAAGTTCGAGTCTTGCGTTCCAAAGAAAAAAAAAATCTGTTAGCCCTTTTGGGCCTTTTTACAGACCGAAATGACAGATTTCCTTACCCTTTCATATTTTGAAACTAGTGAAATCCCTGCCCTTTTATACACCAGAAGCCTGAAAAAGGTACCCCTTTTGGGCGAAGCCCACCGTATTAGACATTGTGGGGAGTACGCCTCCCCTCTGGCGGGGATGGCACTCCTCCCAATCAAAACCTCACAATACCTGTTCTTCTTTCAGAGCTGACAAGTTTCCGATGGTGTGAATATTCTGCGCACGAACCAGATGACCCATACCGCGTGACCAAGACATGGTGAGGATGCTGGGAAGGATCTGCTCTACAGGCACTGTGCACGACACTAGATCCGGGTACACGCAATGTGTCACGTCCTGAGTGGACTGGTCACTATTTATAGGAACTGGTCGTCGCTAAAATGATAAAGTTACATCAACTGTCAGTCCACCAAGTTTGGTCGAGCCTCCTAAGCAAAGAAATTACATCCCAAAATGTGTGTCTCCCCTTCCACCATGCGCTCATTACCCTGGCCATTGAATAGGTGATCTTGTTTTGTCCCAAACTTTTCCACTTTCACGTGTTACTAGGGAGCTTAAGCAACAAGGACGGCGACCGCTATGAGAACGTCACTTAAAAAGTGAATTCGCGCTACCTCAAACTTTAGCGCGCTTATTCCATCTCGTTTAATTCGTACAAATGTTGGCAATTTTTTGGAGTTGAATTCTACAGGACTGTATCAAAGTTCAGGAAAACAAAAAGAAAGTTGTTGCCTTGTGTTCCCGTCCTCGACAAAACGTGAAATTAGGCACTTTCACACGTTGCACCTGCAACGACGGCTAAGAAATGTACAAAAGCGTGATGCACGTGCAAAGTTGTTGTTTTGCTAATATAAACCTATTGCTTTTTTCCTGTTCTCTTTGCCGTCGCCGTAGTCGTTGCTTAAGCTCCCTAACGAACATGATCATGGGCTTGATACCATGAGGAAACCATGTTTTGCACATGAAAAGCAGAAGGGCTGGCAACAGAGCTTGGTAATATCCATTCAGAGTTTCTCGAAAGTCCCGACCAGTTCAAGGTACTTAATTAACTGATAGTCTTTTCATGTTGTCTGTAAAACTACTGAAACCTCTATCTTGAATATAAACAAAAACAGCCTCTCCTGATTGCAAAATGATAATACGTGCAACAATCGGTAACTCATTTCCGCCACTACGATATTCTCTGTAAAATCGCCAAAATGACGATGGTTCACGCGCGGGCTACTTGAGTTTTCATGGTAACTAACCGCTGATCATCTTTCTAACAACTCGGCCGAGGAGTTCACATTTTTACCTACCGTAAAATTCCGAAAATAAGCCCCTCCATGTATAAGCACCTCCAAATATAAGCCCCCCAAACCGGTAACACAGAAAACCCTCCGTTAAGTCGCCCCTCCAAATATAAGCCCCCCCGGGCGCTTGTACTTGGCAAATTTCCCTCAAATGCAAAGTAAAACAAAGCAAAAACGGTAAATTTACTTCCAACTATAAGGCTAGCCCAATCGAGTTTGAAACGCAAGTTTCCCTCCGTAGATAAGCCCCTCCAAAGGGGCCTTTGAAAAATATAAGCCCCGGGGCTTATTTTCGGAATTTTACGGTATATCGATAAGATTGACTACCTGTTTCACTGCTGTAAAAGGAGAGGAGCTCGATGTCTTCAGCTGTGAGGCAGTTGTCGTTGTTTCTGAACATGTCGCTTGGGAGTCTTCGCAGCTGTCGTCATCTTTCACGGGTAGAGCAAAGGACACTCGCCTCACCTGCAACAGAAGCCACAATTAGCGTTATCAGCTGAGTTGATGAGATAAGTTTCCAGGCCACGCATTTAGCGGCTGTTTACATGGAGTGAGGAAGATCCTAAAACCAGGAAGATGCTAGGAGGCGGAACAGCTTTGCGTTGGGTTTACATGCAGAAATTTCAACTGGGTAAGTTATTTTAAAAGATGGCAAGAGACAATAACAAACATGTAATTTTGACCCTTGTGCTCTCTTTGCTAGCGTTAATAACAACTTTTCAGTAGCAGCAGGCACCTCTTTACAACTGGTAACGTCAAACGAAATTTTCTGCTTATATTGCCGTGATTACCTACACACCGATTCGCCACCATTTTTGTCTGGTTTGTCCCTGGTACTAAGAACTTCCCAGCGAAAGCAGTTAACATGGTGTTAGGATCTTCCTACCTCTCAGCTAGAAGATCCTAGTACTTGGAAGATCCTAGCGCTAGAGACGAGTACAACTCTTTGCATGTAAACTGAATGCCAAAAAACATATGGTGCTGGGATGATCCGCCTTTTAGGATCTTCCTGGTGCCTCCATGTAGACAGCCCCCTATTGACTCCGGGAGAATCAAAATATTGTGGGTTGTATCTGGAGGGCTGTGCGCAAAATAAAGACGCGAAAATTACCTTTCCGGGAGGGGAGGGAGAGTCTACAGCCTGCTTGTTCCCAGGCCACCTCTTCAAAATCCCAGTTGTTGGTGAAACGCCTGGTGAGTTTCGCCCTCGCAAATTAACGCGACATGGACTCCCCCCTGCTGCAAAGGGACGTAGGAACTTGGGGATTGGTGACGAGGTTGCTTCTCTTGATACGCCCGCGAGCACTGGTTCAGCGGATTTCACAATGGACTTTTCGAGGATTATCTCGTCATGTTCTTTGTCTTCGTGGGTCATTGCGCTGACTTCTTCATCTACGGTCTTTGCAGAATTTTTCACGCGCAAAGGAGTCTTGTCTCCTTCAGTTTTCTGCTGCAGTTTTCGCCTTGTTCTTCCTGCAACCGGCGAAACTATTTTTGCAAGTTTAGACTTATCTGGCTCAAGTGTTTTTTCGGGCGATCCACACCTGTCGTTATCATTTCTCTCAGAAATGTCCGCTTCTGTATTCATTTCACTTGCCCATTTTTCTTCCTTATAATCTGCCTCAGCTACGACATCTTCAGAATCCTTTTGCACAACATTCGCTTTGTTTCCCAGTGAATCAAGTGAACTGGGCAAAACAGACACCAGCGGAATGGAGACTCTTCTGAGAGACTGGAACGAAGACTCACAACTTGGTGTCTGCGACGACGGTATGATATCTGGTGACGTCACCTCACACTCGTCGTCGTCGCCAGTCAGCGGTTCACTTTCAGCAATCGTTACATCTTCATTTACTTCTAGCGTTTTTTCACTTAAAACACCAACTTTTCCTCCGGCCAATCCGCTATCCTTTTCCTCGCTATCTGCCATCATTATCTCAACGACTTCCTTATCACTCTCCTCAATTTTCCCACCCTCTTCTTCGTGGTCAGGCTCGTTTTCCGCCGCATGGTCCTTTTGTTCAACGATTTCATTTTCGCTTTGGTCAAGGATTTCTGTTTCGTTTGTCTCCGCAACAGAGATAACCTCAATTTCCATCACTTGTTTCTCTGTGAGCTGCTCATTTCCTTTGTTACGTTCCAGAGGAGGATCTTTTTCTCCTTCTACAAGAAAAGGCGAGAGAGAAGATACAATTTCTTACAAGACCCGTCCGAAAGGTAACAATGAACGTTTTTCCAGGAAAGTAAAAAAAATAATCATCTTACCTGGAGTACTTGACGGGGTGGTGTCTGGACTATAAAAAACAGAACTGCTTTAGTTCCTGATGATACAGCAAACGATATTTTAACAAGATTCCGAGGCCGAAAAAGAATGTTTTTTTTTCCGAAAGGACATTTTTTGCTGAGAATAAGTCACATTTTGGTCGGTTAAAACAAAAATGCGGTCAGGCAACACATGATTAAAAAACTTTATCTATAAAGCCAAATAGTCGTTTAACAAAAGAAAGGACGTTTAGGATTCCGTCAGACATGGCTTAGTTCAGTCGGCCGCTGTTCGATGCCCGACTTCGATTTGCAGGCCTAACTAGTCGGAAATTCTTTAGTTCACCGTGACGAAGACATGAAACGCGCGAACCCTGTTCAGTTTTCTCTCTTGGTTCATTCACTTTTTCAAGTCATTTTTAAGCATAAAACATAATTCTAAAGAATTAAGGTTGCCAACTCACGTGACTTGAACTTGTGACGCTAAATACTGGGAAAACTGCGTACAGTCTTGTGATTGGTCGAGAGCGTTGTAAAGGGCAGGAACTTCACTAAAAATGAAGCAAATAGGATGAATGACTAAGATGTGAATAAATGAAAACTGTATCAAGATCCAAATGGCCTTGACAAAAAATGTGCTACAGTAACCATTAATGATAGAATCAGAGAATGGGATTCACAGTAAGTAGCGGTAACTTGTTTAATAACATAGCTGTTTACGTAAGGAATCATTGAAGCTTTTCAATTAATGGGAAGTAGACTTCAAATTTCAACCGACAGCGGAACTGAAGTATACTTTTGCTATGTTCGCAATGCTGTTTGTATGGAACGTATTGAGTATGCAAAGGAAAAAAGCTAGCAAGTGAGGTTTTGTACGGACACATTGGACTTCGGAACGGTTTACATGACGCAATAACAAGACAGATGAATGGGACAGAGAGAAAAACAACCATCTAGTCCTTGGGATATGTGAATTTCAACAAAGTTATTATTTTTTAGACCAATTAAACGCTTGAAAGTAATCGAATTATTTCCTAAGAGATTCCTCTAATAAATTTGATGTCCCTCTCCCCCACACCAATTATCTTAAATATAGTTGTCGTTATAGCCGAGCAGTCTTATGGACCGGTTTGCCTTCGACTCTTTGGCAAGCAGAATCCATACACAGTTTTAAATCTGGCTGCACAGAATTCTTCGAATAATATACACTCGGCATCCATGGAGAGCAGGCTAACTTAATTTATATACTATTTATTATTTATTCATTATTTACTGTTATATGCACATCTGTTTTATATTACATTTATTATCATATTATTATACAGGTTAGATCATAGGTTATATATATACCTTATTATAGGAAATTAACGCTCCATGAAATTAACGCGAATCGTTAAAATTCGCGTTAATTTAAGTCGCGTTAATTTTGTTGAGCGTTAATTTCCGCGACGTTAATTAAGTGCTGCGTTAATTTCCGCGCTCTTAATTTCCAGTATTTTAACCCCAATTTTGGAACCGGTCTAGACATTCTTGACACCTAAAAACATTACCTACAAGCTTTCTTTCTTTCCATTTACCCTTTGTTTTTCATCTTTGGCGAAAGCTAAGGCGAAGGTTTACAATATTTAGCGTTCATCTTCATCGTTGTCGCTGTCAGAAATGATGTCAGCTCAGTTTTGTTCCGTTTTGAATTTTTTTGCATCCAGTGTTGAAATAAATTTGTTCCAGTTGTAACCACCAACTGTGTCTTAATCGCGTTAATTTCCTTTATTTTGAAATTCTACCTCCTCTTTCGCGTTAATTTTCTTTATTCAAAAGTCGTTTTCCATTAAATTCGCGTTAATTTCCAATACCTTAATTTCATGGAGCGTTAATTTCCTATAATAAGGTATACATATTATAAGAATAGCTTAGAATTTTATATTAGTTATATGCCTGATGTTTTTACCGAGTTTACATAAAGTTACTAGACTTGACTTGACTTGATTCTATCATGGCACTAACAAAACCTGCACTGAAAGAGAATATTATGGTATTTCCTAAGTCGCCTATTCAGGAAAGTAAATTCTTCACCTTCTACTGCGCATGATTTCCTTTTGATGTTCAGTGAGAAGTCGTTTCTTTTTCGGCGAAGGTGCGATCATGACGTAATCCTACAGACAAAAACGCAAAATTTATCAGCACTCGCTCACAATTCAAAATAACACAAGGGTCTCAGATTAAACAGCATCCTGGCTACACAAGTCAAGTACCATGGTGGACTTAAAGTGTTCGACACAGACCTACAACAATGGATCCCTCGAAATATTTATTATTCACGACTCCAGCCCTTCAAAAAGTTAACTAAATAATATCAACCCAGCTCTCTCCCCATTACGTTTAAGAGTACTGAGGTAATAATCTGGCCCGCTCGACCAAATAGTGCTGGATTGAAAAACCGATTACGTCACAAGTGGTACAAGAGATGTGAATGCGCAAGTGCGGTTACGGGCGGTTCAGGTACAAATGGATTTAGGTAACAATCACTCCTCTTTAGGCTGGACAATCGTCGCAAAGAACGCAGGCAAGGCATCTTTACATCATTTTATCAACCTAGGGGCCATATTAGAGTATACCATACTTTAACTTCACGCCATCGAACAGAGCCAAGCCTTTGGGAAACCTCCTCCCCAAACCATCCTGGCTAACTTGGTTCACTGCAGATCACACTTACCTGCTCATCATCGTCATCATACTTAGACAGCGGTAATTTTCTCCTAGCATGCGTAGTGGCAGGTGAATTTCTTGGACGTCCCAGTTTTGGTGATCGAAGAAGCTGAAAGAATAAACAACCAAAAAAATTGCGTGGGCTACACGACTGAAAGCCTGGCAGTCACTCACTTGACACCGGTGAATTCGAAAAAAAATACTGTCTTGTTCCAGGAGGGCTCGTTTATTCCGACCATCGTTCATATGTTTAAGAGGTCGGAGCCACAAAGATAATAAAATAGCGTGTGGCACGAAATTTTTGTGGGAATTTATTTTTGCGGATTGGCGATTCTTTGTGTTTTGTGGGACTCAATTTTTGCGATTAGGACAGATGGGTTTTTCTTGCTGGGCATTAATTTTTGAAATTTTCAGAAAGTACAGACGGTAACCAGTAACCAGATTGATAATATTTTCGTTTTTATTGAGTAGGTGCGATAGAAATACATCTTTTCAAACAATAAACCAGTATTTCATTGTATAACGTTTTGTTTCTGAACAAATGAGACATGTTGTGATTGAACAGATACGATTTCTTGGTACTGTATTTTTGTGTAGCGAATTTACGCGGAGAATATTTACTCTAGAGTATATTTTTGCAGGAAAAAGGTTACGGTAATCTTTATTTGCGGGAACTTACTTTTGCGCATCGCTGGAAAAATCGCAAAAATCAGAGCCCGCAAAAATTTCGTGCCACACGGTAGGTAAATTCAACTCCAATGAAAAGCGTTTGTTTGTACCTGTTTAGATGAAGAGTTTTCCGCTGCCTTTTCAGCACTGACTGCCCTGTGCAGAAAACTTCCTTTCAGCTGTGGAGAGCTGCCTGACGATATTTGCTTACGCCTCTGCGGGGAAGCCAGGATACCAAACGACAGGGGTTTAACGATGTCGGTCTGCTGAGTAAGGTCCTCAGACTAAAAAAAGGAAAGGCCAAAAGATATAACATTTATTGGCCATTACAACCATCATCATCATCATCACAATCATCATTTTCAGCATCATCACCGTCATCACTGTCAGCATCATCATCGAAATAATCACCCTAGCCAATAATCCTCAAATGTGATGGGTAGGCTGTACACGGTAAATGTAAATCAGTCAGCATTACCACCAACATCATTGTCAGCATCATCACCAACAACACTGCCAGCATTATCACCAACATTGTCAACATCATCACCATCATCACTGCCAGCATCATCACTATCATCATTGTCAGCATGATCACCAACATTGTCAGCATCATCACCATCATCACTGCCAGCATCATCACTATCATCACACCAACATTGCCAGCACCATCATCATCATCACTGCCAGCATCATCACCATCATCAGTGTTGGCAAAAATAACTCATCATACCTAACTTATCCATCATCACTATAACGCCCTCTACTATCTTCGTGTTAATCTAGCACAAAATTATCACTTTCACTAAAATGTTTCCTGAAAATTTATGATTAATTACCTCGATGTCCAGCTGGGTTTCTTTGACTAAAATCTGAACGAATGATACAAAAAACAGATTTGACAATAAATCCTAACATTGTCTGGAAACTATGGTAGTCTTTACACTAGCGCCTAAATAAGCTAAGAAATATTTCAAGGCAAGTAAATTTTAAATTCTTCAAGTAAAAAAAGCTTCACACACAACCTATCTTTTTTACTTCAGGTTTACTTAAGCCTATTTTCCCACGCAACATAATTAAGATTGATTGACATACTTCGCCCTTCTCAAAGCATAGAAACCACAAGTGCGCTAAGTCGGTTTTAAGGATGGTTTTCAAGTCACTTGAAACTTTCTTGAATCGTTTCAACTTTCCGACTTTAATGAGATGCAAAGTTAAGTTACTTGAGATTTTACTTAGGCCTTCAAACACCATTTTTGGTTAAGTAAAACTTAGCAGCTCTTAAGGCTTACTTAACAGCCTAGTGTAAAGACAACCAATGTTTAATCGTGTAACTGAAGCAAAGCTTAAGATACACAAACGTACCTGGATGTTTTCCCAGCCCGGCAGAGTTAGGGCCATTTTATCTTTGGCCACCTGGAGTACTGGCCTAGAGCGAAAAGCAAGAAAGTTAAAAACCTCAGTTCCAAACTGTTTTCAGTGTATCTCTTGGTAAGTGTATCAACTATTACATTTCACTGTTGTTACCATTGATGTCATCTGTATTGTCTCCATTCTCAGTGACCTATATTTTGTCACCAGTCGTTGGAATTTAAAATGATCAAGACTATTGTCATTCTCATCATCACATCACCGAAATTAATAGCCCCTACAGTCATGATAACCATGTCAAGAACATCCAGACCAACTTTATCACCACTGCCACCACCATTATTATCGTCATCATCATCGTCATCATCATCATCATCATCATCATCATCATCATTACATCATTCTACAAGGTACATCACCATTACTATCATTATCATCATCATCGTTATCATCGCCATAATCAACACCATCATCATTATCATCTAGACAAATTTGCAACAAATTCCTATAGAAATGACGTCACATTGTTCAAAACTCAGGTGCGGCTCGTGGTTTCACTGAACGTTTTGAACATTTTGACGTCATTTCTATGGTCGATAAGAGCATAGACCGTGGAAAAATGTTTTCAATCCTGCTTTTTACAATACCACTAACCATTTCTGACGTCCGTTTCTGTTGATGTTATTGGAAAATCGCACGCGACAAGCAAATTGCGCCACCATCGTGTCATTTCTATGGTCTGTACTCTTAGCGAACATAGCTCTCGACTAATCAGCGTACGAGAACGCGCTCAGTTACTATAAAAATCATAATTTTCATCGTCGTCATAACTACTACGAGTCTCACCACCAGCGTACACACCATCGCCATCACCATTACGTTTATCCTCACAATGAGATTTAACAATTTTACTGTACCTAAGGTTTTCTGGGTAGTTAAGTACTTCAGCATGAGCAAATGTTGCATTCCAGAACATGATAGCATGGTTTTTTATACTTCTTTTTGGGTGGGCAAGAGTCACTTTCTATAATAAGCAAGGAAATATTCATGGTGAGTCTGTTTCTGTGACGGCATGGAATAGTTTCGTCACAATTCTTCACTATAAGCAATCGAATCAAAGGAAGATGTTTCAAATTGAACTTTACCAGTAATGGGGACACGACAGCTAAGAAGTCTGAGTTGTATGGTCCGCAATGGCGACTTTGTATGCAGGTTAGAAGATCAGTCCACAACTTTTCAATCTGAGGAGGAACAACGAATAAATTGTTTAACTACTAGTAAATGATCTCTTTTAAGATAAAACCATGTTCCTGCTAAAGCTTAATTGACAAGTCTCATCATCTTGTTCCCTTGGGTCCTGATTTTCTTGCAAGTTCATTTCAAATGTGATTCTTTTGTCCCCATAAGAGACATGAACAACTGCTGCAATTATCATGGCCTGTTAGCCTTGGAAGTATGAAGCTAATTTGATACCTTCTGAATAAGTCTTGCAGAAAATAGCCTCTTGTCCAAAGTCGTTTCAGTAACCTTTGTGCTGCATGAAAATAAGAAGACAATAATTATTGTTGTGTTTGTTAGGCTACGTTTACACAAGAGGAGATTTTTCGAGATCTATAAATGTTTCCCGATTTACTACATTTGAACGTATTCTGATTTGCAGACATATACATTAATCAGTTAATCCAAGAAATTCATTTATTTGGACACAAAGTAGATTCCGGGTTAAAAATATCTGGACAAATGACCAAACGGGGATGTCTGCATTTAAATCAAATCAAATCCGGCACCAACATGTTCTGGATTCATCAAGAATCCAGAAATATCTCCTCTGCTGCAAACCTAAACTTATGACGCAAAGACTGACTGTTTGGCTACTGTTTTGTATCTAAACTAAAACGAGTTAACTTTTGCAAAGACTTCTGGGATTGTTACTATGGACACGGGAAAAAATAGCTGACCGTGCGTCTCCAGTAACAATACCAGAAACAATAGCAAGACACATTTCAACACCAGTTCCCTTCTCGTTTCTTAAGTTAGGAATACTAATACATTTCCAATAAGTTTTTATTACCGTGAAAACCAAGCATGGTTCTCAAAAAAAGGTGTAATGGCATCAGCTGTACCTTGTATTAGTGTATCCTCTTAATGCTTTTACTTTTTTTCTTTTTCACCCCCTTGCGCTAGCTGTCAATAAATCCCCCATGGTTTTTACTTCTATACCCACAACCAAATAACTCTAAAGAGAAAGGAGAAGGTCTGTAAACAGGCTAACCTTGTATGTGCATTTTCTATGAAGTGCACCAGAGCAGGTCCAAGTGTCTTGAGAACAGCAGTAATGGTCATGGCTCCACTGATATGAACAAACAAGTATGACAACTTGTCAATCAAATTAGTGACAACAGCTGTTAGGATGCCAAGGGTCTGCGACGAGTCCTGTGGAAAAAAAAGAGACGGAGCTGTACTGATGATACAAAATCTAACCACATGACAAGATGCAAAAACGGCTGTTTCCGGTGCGAGCCCTTTTCTTAAGGTTGGAACATACATCTCTTCCGACTTTTCCAAGATTATTCCAATACGTCCAGTTGTTTAAAAGGGAAATTTGGTTCGAGATGAGGAAAGGGGACCGCACCTATGTTCAAACAGAGAAGGTAAATTTTATCAACTTAAGATTCCCATCCTCAAGTGAACTTAAAATTCATCCATTTTGCATCGTAGTAGTGCAGGGAGAGCAAAGAAAATTTACAAAAAAGCATGGGGCATGAGCAGAGTTGTTGGTTTGCTTCCTAAACCTCCTTATTTACCATTCCTGTCGCCGACAAAGATTCGTAAGGTTCCTAAAAGAAATATAAGACTGCTAAGCAGGGTTTTCACTACAGCTGGTGGCAAGCAAAATCCGCCGGCCATTTCACGTGAACTCACCGCCTCCGTTTCTTTGGAAACTACCCCAGGTTTTACAAATAACATGATTTAAAACAGATACTGAAACAACCAATGGCTCATAGCTATTGGCAAGAAGAAATAAATAAAAAAATTATTCATGTGAGGTTGCTGAATAGAAAAAATTTAATGATGTCAAAGTTCTGTTCAAAAACACAACTTTTTGCTCCAGAATGGTGGAAATGCATTCAAAGAGGCCCAGATTTCAAAATTTTTCCGAGGAGACATGCCTTCAGACCCCCCCTCCCTACAAACTCGTGCCTTTGCCAAAAACCCTGGCTGAGTGATCTGTATGTCACTATTATCTTGCACTGCTTCGCTCAGGGCCTATACATACCTTGCAACTGCTTGTTCTTTCACAGGCAGAAAGTAACTTTGCTATCAGGTGAACCAAACTTGTAAAATTTCCCATGGGTTTTTGAAACCGTCTGGTCCACTTAGTGGGAGTGGTGTTGGGTGATTTTCCAGCTGCTGTAGTTGCTAAGGCAAACAGTCCAGGAATTGAAAAATCCAGGCACTCAATTATGACGCCAGCCAGGTTGACCAGGGTATCAACAAAGGAAACATCCTGAAAAAAGAAAGTTACTATATAATGATTTCCGAATAGTGACATGGTGTCTTGAACAGTGGGTGCGTTCCATACAATGATCAGTAATCCGAGATCACTCAGATTCAAGCACATCAAAGAACCGACAAATCCTCTTTCCATTCATTTGATGTACCGTGATCCAAATGATGATGACACGGCCAAAATTTTAACTGCACTGCCTAAATGACACAATCATTTGAACAGAGACACAGTCTTAACTCCTACACTAAGTAATGGCAGGATTATTTGTCACTTTAACCTTTAAATCCGTGGATGAAATTCTATGCTGTTACGATTCGAATGAAAGCTGTAATGTAATATCGGGAGTAAACTAAAAATTCCATTAAATGGATACTTTCAACTGTTGATCCAAGTTCTAATTGATATTTTTTTGCGAAAATCAATCACTGCTGAAAAAAGCTCCTTGTCGTTAGTAAACTTGCCAAGTCTGAAGGTGATACATTTTTAAATGCCTTAAAAGGCAAACAAAGATAGAGCTCCTCGAAGTCACAGATTTTTTTACAGACATTTCTATGCTAGAGCGGGTGGACGGCAAGTTGATGACCCTACCATACAAACATCTGCAACATCTAACAACATCTTTTCCTACAAAACACTCTCAAACCTGGCAATCTTACTATTTTAGCCCCTCTTTTAGGCAGTGTCGATGGATTTTCACAACCTAATCCATGTCAAAAGCTGAAAAAAACTGAGGAAAAGTCTTTTGGTATCCACTGAATTTAAATATACAGTGTGCACTCTCATGCAAGCTAACCATAAGAACATTCTCACCTTAGAGCTCCAGTCGCCCTCTACAGAGAGAATCATCGTACACAGCTCCTCACAACAAACATTGGCTTCAGCTGTTGGCACAAGGGATGCTGCGCGGGAAAATGATCTGTACAGCTCAGCGATTGTTTTGCTTATTTCCTTTCCAAAACCCTGGATGGGGAAATACATGTAACAAAATAATTTTAATGCAAGGTCTCCAGGTCTGTCAAAAAGTTTTTAAGTAGCAGGCTGATAATAAATAGTAGGTGGCTTTGGAACTTGCCCCAAAGGTACATGTTCTTGAGGGCCAAGGCATCTAAGGACATTTTGACACTTAGAGTCTCAGAAATGGAATTTCCACGGGTTTTCAAGAGGTATTTTCCACTGCAGAAGCCATGTTGTTTTGTCAGAATACACACAAGAATGGAAACAACACCACTGAAATGTCTCAGGTGTTCCACGACATTACACAGTTCGAACATTTCACAGATCTTAACTTGCTTAAACATGCATTCAGAGTCATTCAAAACTGAGAAACAAATGCTTGACAATTTTACTCAATGGTGTTTATTTTCTGTTAGCAGTTATGGTAGAAGGAGATGAAAGTAATTTGGAATGTGTACCTAAAATAATCAGTTTGAATCGGTTTCGATATGCGATTTTAAAACACACAACACGAGGTCTCCTTAACTCTATGAATGTCTTTCTCCCCTCCTAAATTTCTCCCCCACATGAACAGCTGATGTGTGGTTTTACCTCATCCTATAGCTTCTCTGACAAAACAATCCAGTATGTTTATAAAAAATGGAAGAAGGGCAGAGTCCTGTATAATATAAAAAGCCCTGTCACACCTGTGAAAAAATTGCATCAAGACGCTTGATTGGGAACACTAATGCCGAGTGTAGAGTGCTGAAGTCATGTTCTAGGGCATCACCTTGATTCACATCGTTGGTCTGTAAATGAAAAAGCACACATGAAAACCTTTACATTAAATTTAACAGTTAAATGAAATTTAACACAATAAGGAGTGTCAACAGTCAGGTGGCGCAGATGCAGTCAGCCTCGCTAACACCAGCAGCATGTGCTTAGTGCAGTGTTTCCTGGCAGCCACTCGTTCCTTAAGCCTTTGAATTATGCATTTACCCTCACCCCTGGCCCTCCCCGTCTTATTTTTCCACTGCTAAATCAGTGTGACAGGTGCCTGATTCTGCTGTCATGGGAGCGCATGGCTGGGAAGTGCCGATTTACCAGCCATGGGGGGAGGCGGTAACTCTATCTAGGGGCTGGCTTTGCCAAAAGTGGAAGCCCCTGGCCAACCCTGACACTCACCTCAACTAAGTGACATAAAGCCTGTGTACAGCTGCCTCCTCCCCTCAGTAAAGAATTGGAGGGGGTGGCTGTACACAGGCTAAGTGACACAGCTGTTACACTACAATCATTGTTATTATTAATCTGAATGATACACTTAAGCTACATTAACAAATGACAATGAATTTTAAACTCCAAATAAGAGGGACACAACCCCAGCAAAAGAAAAAAATAGTCTTAGTCCTAACTTACATTGAACCCCAAAAAACTCACTTTGCTGGCTTGTAGATGTTTGTGGTTTGAACCCAAGTTTTTCTTTTTTGTCTTAATTTTACCATTGCAACAATGCAGGCACTTCAGATGTACTATTTCTTTTAACTGAAGCCAGCCTAGTTTGCAATAGCTCATGTTACAGTTACAGGTGGAAACAAGGCTGAAGTTGACTTTGTTTTGATACGGCCCTTTCTGCTTTGTTATGTAAAACATGTTGTTCTTATGCTAACTAGTATTTTTAAGCAAAAGTTTCATTTGAAAAGGGAGGAGGTTTGCATCAAAACAAGGTCAGCCTCATGTTCACCCAAAGGCTAGTACACTAAGCACACAACTGTAAAATGGCTTATTTGCAAACTAAGCATTAAATATTGACTCTTAAATTTTCTCACCTTCTGAATGTGCTCCTTAAGTTGTGCAACAACACAACTCCATAGTCTCCACAGATTATCTTTATTGCTGATAAAACTAAGAAGAAACACAATCATCAATCAGACCTTTTTAGGTGTGAGCAGCTGTTAATTGTTCACAAATGTGACACACTAGTATCCCTCATGTGCATGTATAACTGTTTATGGGTATCTGCCACTACAAGGGTAAGGTTTTTGAGCATTTTTGGCTGTCTTCAACACTTTGCAACTAGTCATTCACATGGTACAAAACCACCATGCTTGAATGCAAGGGACGAACTGGGACAAGACAAAAATGATGTCATTTCCACCATTGAGTATATTACCAACTCACAAAGGTCTGCTCTCCAGTTGGCTTGATTAGCTTAAAATGGATAGAGTATCGCATCCAATATCACAAAGGTCAGGGTTCGACTCCTGGTCAAACCTGATTTTTTTCTTGTTCTTTTTCAACTGCTTACATTTACTCAACTGCGAGAATCATTTCCACTTTCAATACTGGTTACAGTTAATGGTGAACACTTTCTCAGTCAAATTTTGGGGTGTCAGGGCAAAACAAACTGAATTTTACCTTGAGGCTTTTTCTAGAAGATCAAAAACAGTTTTTAAAAACACCAACTGTCCAGAGGCTGTCATCATACCACAAGCAACAAGGGGCTCAAAAGTCAAGTGAAGCCTGTTGATAAGACGGTAGGAAAATGCTGATTTGTTTATGTCTGCTTTTAATATTACAAAAAAATTCTTCAAACTAAGCAATTAATACACTGTTTTACATATGTCATATTAACACCAAACAGAGGATTAGAGTCAACTCCAAATACAGTATATTGTTCAGCCAAAATATTCAGATGCATCACAGATGACTCATTTGATTGTGATGATTGTGATTGGTTCATCTTAAAGGCAAAACAATACAACAATTTTGAGAAAAAAACAACAAGCAAACAGAAATTGCGTAGAAAAACCAAAGGAAATTGAAAACCAGGCCCTACGATTTCACGGTAACAATTGTTTCCAGTACTGTTTTGTAACTGTGGTCTTAAAATTAGACATATCATACAAGTATAATTATTTTCCAAACCTTTCATTTTGCCAGATTTTTTCCAACAAATGTGGCGTCAACAGTAGTTGGATAAGAAGAAGGGCGGGTGATCCTTGTGGATTGTCTTTGGAATGAAGTGAGGCCATGTGGTGACTAAGTACTTCTGAAGAAAGACTGGATAACTCTACTAACATTTTCTGTTAAAACAAAATTTAATTAAAACATTAATTTATAAACGTTTATTTTTTATGTTTTTGAAGTTTCACATCTACAGTAACTTGCATCTACCTACTCAAAATCTTAGTAAAATAAACTATAATCTAGGACTTAAAAACTAAGACCCCACTCAATCTCAACAATATGCAATTCTTGAACCACTCAGCAGGGCTCACTGAAAGTCCCATCTGGTAGTCAGGGGCAAATAGATTTTCTTGCTGGGCAAGTAGCTTATAAAGCTTACTTGCCCAAAGGACACAGGTGCTGGCAAGTCATCCTCTAACAAAATCATTAAATAAGACAAGCAAGAAGTGGCTCTAAGTAAGCAAAATGTGAGGGCTCCGAGCCCAAAGGGAATCGCCACAACCAGTTGCAAAAATGTTGAGACACTCCAACAAAAACCTTAACCCTAACCTTTCTTGCTTCAAATCACTGCTCGTCACAGGTCTGTGAGATATAATACTATCCTCCCTCCCTCTTCCATTTCAAGTTGTTCCTCCAAGTTTTGAGTATGGTCTTGTATTACTAGCAACTTTGATAAGGGGTGGAGGAGGGATCACAAGCACAAGATCATGGACAGGGCATTAATATGGTAAAGTGTCTCAAGTACTTTGGCAACTAGTTGTAGAATTCAAGTGTTTTGAGCCCTGCTTAGAGGTGAATTAAATTGACCACTTTTTAAATGGAAAGTGAGAAACCCCACAAGGCTGATTTCAAATGCAGTAAAAATACAAAAATACAGCATAACTTACAAGAACTAGAGAAGGTGACAAAACATTACTGTCAACCAAATCCTGCATGACAGCAAGCAGAGGAAGAAGAATTTCTCCATAATCTGATGATGAACCTGCCAAAAAAGAAAAGACAAAAATACCAAATGTGGCAATTCAGCCAATTGGATGGTGCCTGGGATCCTTTGGTATACAGCAGCTTCCACTCTGGCAAGCCAACCCTATACTTAGCCTAAACTCAAAGATAGATTATTGCCTTTGCCTGCTTATGAACCCACTGCTCTGGAACTGTAAAATCTAAGGTGCCCAGCTTGTGATTTGTATGAAAAACTAAGATTTCTTAGTCGCCCAAGAGCAAAAGTTAGGTGCCAGAGGCCACCGGGCTCTGCCAGATCGAGCACAGCCTTGTCAGAAGATGTCCATAAACCCATTAACACAGGTACTGTGCTAATTTTATTGTCATTTGGCTGTAAACGCAGTTGATATAATTATGCAGTAATGGGTAACAATAATATACCTTTTTCTAGCAGTCTACTTATCCTTAGAACAAGTAGGTTCCATATTTTTATCCCCAGAGGTTCTGAAATTTAAAAAAAATGGGAAAAGGTTACAGTCAAATCTTTTCTTCTGGAGTGAACTTCATGATTAGTATGCCACACTAAAACAGGCATGGAGGAAAATTTAAATAACATCAAGACAAAATTTCGCCACATTACTCATTAACTCACCTGCAAGGTCTGTCCCCAAAGCCTTGAACCCTTCTCTTACGGCATTTATCAGCAAAGATGAATGCTTCTTAAAATCCTCTGCTCTCTTAAATGTCACTGTTTGTAGTCTTTCACCTTGAACAAAGTGAGTGATGTCAGATTCTTGAAGTATCATAACACCAAAGTTAAAGAGAACATTGGCAGCATTTCCCACTTGACACATTACGAGAATGAGGGTGCAGACATGCCCTTTTTTATGCCTATAATTTCTTTTTGCTTCTCCTTCTTAGGCAAGTTCTAATACCTTTTGTCGAAAAGACAGAGTTCAAAATCCTTATCTTTTTAAAGACCTTTTTCGGTGCTTTCTTACATGTACAGTACTTATCCTCTCTTCCTTCTCCTAAGTCTCCACTGTAGTTATGTTATCTTAGGAATTCATAAGATAAAGTTTTTCCTAGTCATCCTGGTTTTAAATCCTGATGGTAATAACTTCGCAGCACCAAAGCTGTGGAATGCACTAGATGCCACTTAATTAATTAGAAGAGCCAAGGCTGATGATGTTTTTAAAACAAAAGTTTAAGGTTGGCACTTTCATCACAGCTTGAAGGTCGTTATGTTCATTAATGTTCATTAATTTTAACAGTCACAGATTTGTGTTGGGATTGTCATTTGTTTGTCATTTATTGTGATCTTCTTGGGAACAAAATAGTTAATGAAGAAGAAATTATAATTCTTGAACCTTACCTAGTGAAACAACCAAGCCAGAATTGCCACTCATCTCAACCTCACCATCATCCACCTTCAAAAGTTCCAAAAGAATCTCACACCCCTGTACCAAAAGCTTCTGCTTAGCTGTTCTGGCAAAGCTTGCATTCAAAACAGTTGGTGTCCTTGGGGTGCCAACATCTTTGAGAGATCTACGGATACTTGATTTGGGTGTTTCCGCCATCATGTCTGCAAGCAGTTTGTTGTTCGTTGGAGTCGGAGGACATTTGAGATCGCTAAGGCCTTCCTTTGTCTTCAGCAGGCTTACTTGATCAATGGCAGTTCCGAATATGAACTGAAGAAGTGGGGTGCAAACCTGAAATATGAATACAAAGTAGCGTTAATAAAGAAATATCCCTGTTTTGTATCTATACATAATGTAATACTCATGATGACGATGATGATGATGATGATGATGATGATGATGATGACAATGATGGTGATAATGTTAATGGTAGTGATGATGATGATGATGACAATGATGGTGATAATGTTAATGGCAGTGATGATGATGATGATGACAATGATGGTGATAATGTTAATGGTAGTGATGATGATGATGATGACAATGATGGTGATAATGTTAATGGTAGTGATGATGATGATGATGACAATGATGGTGATAATGTTAATTGTAGTGATGATGATGATGATGACAATGATGGTGATAATGTTAATGGTAGTGATGATGATGATGATGACAATGATGGTGATAATGTTAATGGTAGTGATGATGATGATGATGATGATGACTACCATGATGATCAAGGTGATGGTGTTCATGATAATGATAAGGATGGGCAAATGATAGTGACGGTTGGCAATAATACTATAAGAATGCCAAATAAAGACCAGGATGAGGTAATGATGAGGGAATAAAGATGACACTGATTGACAGTAGTGGTAATGACAGCTCAGATAAAAATAGTGGTAAAAACAGTGATGATGATGATGATGATGATGATGATGATGAAGCTGATGACGAAAGTAGTGATGGTGATTATGATGATCCCTACAGATGTCCTTTGGGGTTCGTTTGAACGAACCCCAAAGGACGTCTGCAGGGAGGCTAGTAAAGGTGATAATGATAACGATGACAAAGATGGTAAGACAAAACCAATGATGAAAATTGGTGTTGACGATAAAGATGAAAATGATGAATTGTGGTGATGATTGTGATTGTGATGTATTGTGATGCTGGTTAATTAGAGATGATGGTAGCGAAAGAAGTTATGGTAAAACAGTGGTAAAAATGATGATGATGATGATGAGAAAAATTAACATAACTGACTTTGTGAGAGTCACATTGATGATGATGATAAGAATAACAGAACCTATAGAGGTTATCTTACTACTAACTTCATGAGTAGGTTGAGAATGATCATCCACATGAACGTAGTCCTGAATAGAACTGTTGTTGATGGTGACTGACGTTTCAACAACCTGCGCAGTGGTCATCTTCAGAGTCAAAGTGAGTTGTATCATGTCAGTTGATGGTATTAAGTCGCAATGTTATTGGTCATCTGTCAGTTCAGCTGTGATGTTTTTGGCTCTCAAGACTTAAAATGTCATTGGCGTGATCAGTCTATAGTCAGAGTTTAACAGTCGTTTATGGCTAGTCAAATTGTCAGTTGTCCAGTCATTCTCTCGCAGTTAGTTTTGCTTGAGTCTGTCGATAAGTTGTTTGTACGGTGCCAATAACTGTTGACTACAATTCAGTGACGTTTGTTCTAAGTTTGTAAACAAGCTCCTAACTAATCACCATAACAACAGATCATTATAAACCTGATCAAACAGTTCTTGAACTCGTGATCCCAGCAGGCAAACAAAGTGCCACCAGGTGGAAAGTCTTGCAGCTTCAACCTCCTTATTACTCTCCTTAACTGCAAGGTTCTAAAATAAAATAATTTATTACAAATTATAAATTTAGAGATTTCATCTGAGGGCAGGCAAAAAAAAATTGGTGCAAAGTTTGAAATAATTATCATAGCCCCAGTTGTTCAAAATGAAGATAGCACTAACCACCAGGCCCCGGTTGTTCAAACATTGGATAGCGCTATCCACCGGATAAATCACTATCCAGCGGATAAGTATTAGGGAAACCAATTGTGACCGAGCCGCGCGAGTAGGGGAGGTAGCGAATGACAACCAATGAAAGACAAAATGCGTACGAAACAAACAAGAATTTAATGGCCAATTAGTGGGAAAGAAATACAATAAAAACAAATACTAGGAAAACGAATAAAGCAACAAAAAGGGAAAGAAAAGGGGCGATGAAAAGGGCAATAGCGCTAAAAGGAAACAACGACGCTAAAAATTACTACGACAGCTAAACAATACAACTAAGAGAATAAAACTACACTAAAATGTGAAAAGTAAACAAAACACGCTAGGAAACATCATGCTAGGTCACGAAAGAAGAACAAGCGTGACAAATAGCATGTGACTCGTGTCAAGAGTCATATGATACGAAGACAAGAAAACACAAGCTAAACGAGGTCAAACTGAAAGGTTGTGATCTACGATCTTGCACAAAACGGTGGCAAAACTAAGCAAAACACTACGCTAGAGGAATAACAACGGCTACGAAACTAAAGGACAATGATTTCAGAGCGAAAGTGCTCGATACAACAGCGGAAAACAACAAAACCAAGAAACGATGAAATCTACAACACGAAAGTGATACTACGGTCGCTGGACGTTTCATAAACACGATGACCTCGAAGGAGAGCGAAGAACATCCTAGGAAAAACAGCAAAAGGAGAACACTTACCCACTCCAGCGAGGGGAGAACTCTACAAAACTATGTCCTACGGCTTGACTAGTGAACGCGGCAACTGGAACTGTAGTAATGCGTAGAAACGCTACGTGCAGGCTATTTATATCGCGCGGAACACAAACAGCTCGCATCCTGTTATTAGCAATACAATTGGACAACTATAGCTAGGTAAGCCACAAAACAGTGGAGTCGTCCTTTTGGCAATACGCCTGTTTGTAAAACACTGTTATCGCTTTACCGTAGAGTACATACGTGTTCTGTTAATATAATAGGAGGAAACAAATGGAGAGTTTCGCGGTTAGCTACAGCAATGGCGGCAAATTAAAGCGAGCTAAAGTCAATTAATTTCTTTCCTGTTTAAGGGTGTAACGGCGGCGAAACCACAGAGCTAGATAAAACACCGCTAACCACGAAGCAAAACTAAAGAAACGCGTGCCGTGGGAAAACGATAAACAGAACCGCAAAAAATAATACCGAAAAGAAAATGCTTTGTGAGCTAATTATCGAGCTCGGTTACATTTCTCCCCTGCTTAGGTCGTCGTCCTCGACAGACCACAACAATGCTTATTTAAACTAACAAACTCGTTTTACCAAAGGCTATATGCTAAGAACCAGAATAACAAAATGAAATATACTGGAAAGTCTTTAACAGTCAATGTCACCGAGTTATTTACTGCTGATCTTGGGGCTCTATGGGGATTAGAATGCTGTCCTGTTGTCGTCCGGGTCGAGCGTCTCAGGGTCGCTCTCTTCAGGGGCTCTGGGGCTGGGTGTTCCACATGAACTGGTTCTTCGGGGGTCTCTGCAACTGGGGGTACTGGAACGGCAGGTTCAACAATCTCAGGTTCTGCGTAGGGCGCTTGATCTCCTGGGGTCACTTCAATGGGCATTTCTGGAACTGGGGGCTCACTGGTTTCTGATTCTTCCGGGGGGTTCACAGGCTCACAGGGTTCTGGAGGTGCTGTGTTCAATACAGGATGGGGGCATCTTCTCATCACGATTATCTCTTCCTCGTCATCTTGGGGTTCAGTGGGCACTCTATTATGTCTCGCTCTTGGGGGAATCAAATCTGTCGGTACAATGGGGTTGGTGTCAAGGCATGGCTGTACCTGCCTGTGACATGGTCTCATCAGGGTCCGATATACTCTCTTGCTGGGTCCATCTCCATGGGCTGGAGCAACTGTATAAACAGCTCCTGTAGGTCCTGGCGTCTCTTGAACTTTGTACAAGGTGGGATCCCAAGCATCCTGTATCTTGTTTCTGCCTCGGGGATGACTGCGTAGGTAGACAAACTGGCCTTTTTTCAATTGGCTGGTCATTGGTACTCTTGTCGCTGGTGGCTTTCCGTGCATCTGCTTGCTGTCTGAGGTGCTCCCCTGCTTTGAGGTAAGCATCTCGTAAAGCGGTCTTGGTGGGAGGCTAGCCAGTCTGTTTCAGGTGGATCCTTTTCGCCTGCTCCAAGCATTAGATCTAGTGGTAAGCGGGGTTACGCCAAACATCAGGTAATACGGAGAATAGCTGGTGGATGCATGAGGGACAACATTATAGGCATAAAGAAGTTCTCGGAGGTACTCTGGCCACTTTCTCTTCTTTTCTGGTGGTAGTGAACGCAACAGGTTGTGCACGGTTCTGTTAAATCTTTCACATTGGGCATTGCCTTGCGGGTGATAAGGAGTGGTACGCGACTTCTTAATGTCGTACAGCTTACAGAGTTCGGTGATCACTGCATTCTCAAAACTTCTTCCTTGATCGGAGTGGATTCTCAGAGGGACACCATACTTAAAAACCATTCCTTAAGGAGTACTTTAGCTGTGGTGCTCGCCCGCTGGTCTCTGGTAGGAACTGCATGTGTAAATTTTGTGAAAACATCTGTCATCACTAACACGTTCTCCCTGCCATCTGTGGCTGGTTCCAACAATCTTGAGTCGATCGCAAAGAACTTCTAGGGGTTTAGTAGCTAAGAGGTGTCCCATGGCTGGTCTAACACGTGGTAATGGTTCTTTCGACAAGGTACATCTTTCACATTTCTTTATCCATGCTTCTACATCGCTATGTATTCCCGGCCAGTAGCAACGGTCTCTAATCAGATGTAATGTTCTCTCGGTCCCTTGGTGGCCCATACCATCATGTAGGCTGGTAAGTACTTTCTCTTTCAGTTTCTGGGGAAGGATCAACTGTTTTCGTTGGCCGCAATGGGGATCTTGAATGACTCGATACAGTATGCCATTTTCCTCTTCAACCTTGTCCCATTGGTTGAGCAACGTAACAGCATCTCGTGTTTCTCCTCTCCTTTCTTGGGGGGTGGGTTTGCGGTTGGTTTGCCTGTAGTAGTGGAGGCGACTGATGACGGGGTCTGCAATCTGCATGTCTCGTAACTCAGCTGGACTGTGAGAGGGTAGGCTGGTGAATGTTGTCTCTGGGGTACTTGTGCTCAGTTGTTCTTGGGAGGTGTAGGTCGTCACCAACTCTCTCAGCTCGACTGGAACTGGGGTGGATTGTGTGACGCTAATGTTTTCCAACTGAATCTCAGCTAAATCGTCAGCATGCGGGATTTCCTTTTCATGATTTCCACGTGCTACTCTTGAAAGGGCATCTGCGTTCCCATTAGCTCTACCAGGGCGGTACTTCATCTTAAAGTTAAACAAGGCTAATTCAGCTGCCCATCTCTGTTCCACTGCTCCTAACTTGGCTGACTGAAGGTGACTTAGGGGGATTGTTGTCTGTGTACACCACGAATTCTGTTCCTAACAGGTAACTTCTGAACTTCTCTGTGACAGCCCACTTCAGCGCTAGTAACTCTAGTTTACGGGAACTATAATTCTGCATGTTTTTCTCTGGGGGTCTGAGCCGACGACTTGCATAAGCGATAACTCTACGTCTACCATCTTGTTCCTGGGATAGCACAGCTCCTAGTCCATCATGGCTAGCATCTGTCTCCACAATAAAAGGCTTGGTGTAATCTGCATAACCAAGTACTGGTGCAGTTGTGAGCTTCTCACACAGGATGTCAAATGCTTCTTGGCACTCTTGGTTCCATTTCTCTTTAAAGGGGCACAAAAGTCTCTTGTTAACTTTGAGTTCATGAAGTGAATTGACACTAGCTGGTGAAGGGGTCCTGCTATCTTGGCAAAGCTTTCAATGAATCTTCGATAGTAACTTGCAAAGCCTAAGAAGGTTCTGAGTTCCTTAACAGTTTGGGGAACTGGCCACTCTTGTACGACTGCTATCTTCTGGGGGTCTGGGGCAATACCAGCACCGGATACTTCGTGTCCCAGGTAGGTGACTCTTCTACGCAGGAAGGTACACTTTTCCAACTTCAATTTCAAACCGTGTTCTCTCAGGCGTTTAAGGACCATGTCTAGTCTCTCAAGGTGCTCTTCAAAGGTTTTCGAGAAGATCAGGATGTCATCCAAATAAACAAGCAAAATCTGGAAGATCTGCTCATTTAGGCAAGCTTGCATAAGCCGAGCAAAACACGCAGGTGCATTACAGAGTCCAAAAGGCATCCTGTTGTACTCAAACAGACCAAAGGGGGTTATGAATGCAGTCTTCGCTTTGTCTTCTTCAGTTACTCCTATCTGGTTGAAACCACTTGCCAAATCCAGGGTAGAAAACCAGCTTGCTCCCTGCAGTGCATCGAAGGATTCTTCAATCCGAGGTAAGGGATAAGCATCTTTAACTGTTTTTTGCGTTTAACTTTCTGTAATCCACACACATGCGGAGGCTACCATTCTTCTTCCGCATAAGTACTATTGGGGAGGAATAGGGGCTGTGGCTCTCTCGGATGATGCCTTGACTTAGGAGTTTCTGAATGTGTTCTTTTGCTTCTTGGTACTGACCGGGGAATTCTTGGAAAGGCTGATTTACAGGGATGTCATCTGTGGTGAATATCTTGTGCTTTACTGTTTCGTGTAGCCTAGTTCATCATCATCAGTAACAAACATGTCCTTGTACCTGGCCAGGAGCTCATCAAGTTTTGCTTGCTGATCAGGGGTGCAATGCATGTCTTCAGGGGAATGGGTGTAGACTTCGGGGAATCTTCTTTCTTGGGGGATTCTTCGGGCTTGGGTTGTATGACTACTTCACTGGCAGAGACTTGTGTGAAGGTAACTGCCTGGTTGTCATCCTGGACACCTGCTACTGCATGCATTATACCAATTCTCTCACGGGGGCGAAGCCAAACATCCTCTTGTGCTATGTTAGCAACTTGTACTTTGACACGTCCACGACTGACTGATGAGAGGGTGCTCATGATTACCAGTCCATGACATGACAAATCTCTTAGGGGCTCGATAAGGACAACTGCATCTTCACCACGCTGCGATCCTCGATAACCAGTGGCATCTACAGTTGTGACCATTCCAGCTGGGATCCTAACATTGCTTTTGCCTGCAATCTTCGCAAATCCTCTAACTGACGTCATAGCTTCCCCTGCAACTTGGAGTGTATTAGACCAAGCAGAGTCTTCTAGGAGTTTGGGTTCTTTAATTTCTTGATTCATTCTTTGTATAATGTTCATTCCAATCAGACCTGGCACAGCTTCTTTACGGGCTCTTGACTGGGGATCCGGGGGGGTCTCGTACCACAAGAATACCTCTCTGAAGGATGGTTACACCTTGTGCTTCAAAGTCTAGTTCCAGGTAACCAATGTATGGTATTTCCAGGCCATTAGCAGCTGTAAGGGTAAGCCATTGGTTTGTGTCAAGCAGTTTGCTTCTTCTAGGGCGGAAGTGCTTATTAAAGAAACTCTCAGCGATGGTGGAGACTTGTGATCCAGAATCAAGAAGACAGCGTACATGTACTCCCCCCAGCTTCACAGTAGTGACTGGACAACTTCCAACTGCTCTCTCATAGACAATTCCAGGTAACTGTGGGGGACAAGGTGAGCCAGGACTGTTCCCTCCTGCTGCCTGACTCTCAGCAGCAGGGGGGGCTAGTTTGACAGGTTAGGTGGAGGCCTGGTGGTGAGGTTCCGGAGGGGTGGGGGTCTACTTCGTGCTGTGCAATTCCGGGCAAAGTGTCCTGGTGCTCCACACTGATAACACCTGTCGCCACCTGCGTCAGGTCTAGGCTGAGGCTGCTGGAACTGGGGCTGAGGCTGTATATTCTGTCCTCTGTGGGTGGGCACTGTATTCAGCTTCTTGAGATTGGCTGCTAGGTCTTCGATAGCCTTTTGCTGGCCTTGCAAGGTTTTAATCATCTCATTCATAGCTGATTCAATGGAAGAGGGCTTAGTGCAGGTACTGGTCTCATGCGACGAAGCCACCCTGGGGCGCGGTCCACAGGACTTCTCATCTTCTTCGGACCATCGAATAGCTTCCTCTCTGGTGTCTAGAAAGGAAATTTCTGGGTGGGTTCTAATAAACTTCTTGAGTTCCTTTCAAAGGAGGGGATCTCTGACATTTTCGGCGAAGTGGTCTCGAAGGGCTGCGTCTTGGCCACTTGATTTGGTCACACTTTTCTTTTGTATCTTGGCTTGCAGTTCTCTCAGGGCATGGGAGAATGCGCGAAGGGTTTCGCCTTCCCTCTGTCGGCGGTCGTAAAAAGCTTTTAAGAGCTGGGGAACAGAACGCTTCTCACCAAAAGACTCTTGAAGGAGGTCAAAGATCTTATCTGAATTCGTAAGGTCACTTTTAGGGTAGAGCTTCATTTCTTCTTTAGCAGGGCCCTCTAGGTATGAGAGTACAAAATTCGCCTGCTCTGGGAGAGGGAGTCCTCTTGAGGTGATTGCGCTTTTCGCATTATCAATAAAATCCTCTATGGACAGTTCATTATCACCATGTCTTCCACTAAACTTCTTCAATTTTTGTTCATTGGGGATCACCACTAACTGCTTTTCCTGGGGTTGGGATGGGGCTGGAGCTCCTGGGAATTCCTTAGCTTGGAGGGTTTTCAGGAGTTGATATGCCTGGTTATGTTCCTCCTCCAATTTTTGGAGCTTCTGTTTGAGTTGCCCCACCTCACCCTCCATATGGGATGTGACCTCTATTGCCCTTTTCTACTCCTAGTGCTTTATTGTATTTCTAAGATTTTGGAAGCCAAATAATATTCGCGACCCCACTCCTGGTACCAAAAATGTGACCGAGCAGCCAGAGTAGGGAGGTAGCGAATGACAACCAATGAAAGACAAAATGCGTCTAAAACAAACAAGAATTTAATGGCCAATTAGTGGGAAAGAAATACAATAAAAACAAATACTAGGAAAACGAATAAAGCAACAAAAAAAGGAAAGAAAAGGGGCGATGAAAAGGGCAATAGCGCTAAAAGGAAACAACGACGCTAAAAATTACTACGACAGCTAAACAATACAACTAAGAGAATAAAACTACACTAAAATGTGAAAAGTAAACAAAACACGCTAGGAAACATCATGCTAGGTCACGAAAGAAGAACAAGCGTGACAAATAGCATGTGACTCGTGTCAAGAGTCATATGATACGAAGACAAGAAAACACAAGCTAAACGAGGTCAAACTGAAAGGTTGTGATCTACGATCTTGCACAAAACGGTGGCAAAACTAAGCAAAACACTACGCTAGAGGAATAACAACGGCTCTGAAACTAAAGGACAATGATTTCAGAGCGAAAGTGCTCGATACAACAGCGGAAAACAACAAAACCAAGAAACGATGAAATCTACAACACGAAAGTGATACTACGGTCGCTGGACGTTTCATAAACACGATGACCTCGAAGGAGAGCGAAGAACATCCTAGGAAAAACAGCAAAAGGAGAACACTTACCCACTCCAGCGAGGGAGAACTCTACAAAACTATGTCCCACGGCTTGACTAGTGAACGCGGCAACTGGAACTGTAGTAATGCGAAAACGCCACGTGCAGGCGTATTTATATCGTATGAACACAAACAGCTCGCATCCTGTTATTAGCAATACAATTGGACAACTATAGCTAGGTAAGCCACAAAACAGTGAAATCTTCCTTTTGGTAATACGCCTGTTTGCGAAACACTATTATCGCTTTACCGCAGAATACATACGTGTTCTGTTAATACAATAGGAGGAAACAAATGGAGAGTTTCGCGGTTAACTACAGCAATGGCGGCAAATTAAAGCGAGCTAAAATCAATTAATTTCTTTCCTGTTTATGGGTGTAAAGGCGGAGAAATCACAGAGCTAGATAAAACACGGCTAACCACAAAGCACAACTAAAGAAACGCGTACCATGGGAAAACGATAAACGGAACCGCAAAAATAATACCGAAAAGAAAATGCTTTGTGAGCTAATTATCGAGCTCGGTTACACAATTACTCTATCCGCTGGATAGTGATTTATCCGGTGGATAGCGCTATCCAACATTTGAACAACTGGGGCCTGGTGGATAGCACTATCCAACGTTTGAACAACCGGGGCCAGATAAATCTCCATCTGTTTGTCCTAATACGGTACTTATCCGTTGGATAGCAATTTATCCAGAGGATAGCACCATCCAATGTTTGAACAACCAGGACCAGGTGTTTTGATTCTAATCAGTTTTTTCATTGCACTTACCCTAAATGGAGTCATGATAAGCTTGATCCTCCTGGGGCTACAAAGTACTTCTGAAATTAAACAACAACTTTAGGTCAAAAGGTCAGTTTTGGATCTCAGCAAAAAGGTTTAAAACAATAGTGTACATACTGACATTACCTGGTGAGAGGGCAAAGTTGTCAATCAAGATATTCCATGCAGAAAATGACATCACTTGCACCTCAGTTGATGTGTCTCTAAATCCCTGAAATCAGAAAAAAAAATTGTTGCTGAAGCATTGGAAAAATAAGAATAATTATGAGATTAATAATTAAAACAAACTTTGTTATTGAGCAGTAATTGATTATGTCCTCTGTAAAAAATTGACAGGGTTTGTACTCTTTTGAGCTTTTCAAATTTCATGTCCTTCCTTGACCTTATCAAGTTTTATATGACCATAGGTTTAGCTGCTGTCACTTTCAAAAATTTTCAGAACTTTCCTAGGTTTAAGGTATTTTTTGACCTTAAACTCTGATGTCCTCCAAAATGCATGGTGTTTGCGCTTCTCTCTATCTTACATTGTCCTTGCTTTGTCATCTGCAGTAACTAATCTACCAAACAAAACTTTAATTTTCGATGACTTTCAAACACAAATAATTAAATTCCATGAATTTCCAGGCTTGGGAAATGAGATTCTTAAATTCCATAACTTTCCAGGTTTTCCATTACCTGTACGACGCTGATCGTTTCAAAGAATCTTGCCTCATGGATGAGCAATGGTGGCTAATATAATATTCCAAAAGGCGTGATGAATGTGTTGAGTTGTCACTCTGCTTATGAAACCCATTGCTTTTTCATGTTTCTATTGACTTCCGATTGCTGTTGTCAATGCTTAGGACCTTTTTAGCTTGTCTGTTTTGTTTTCCCCAGGGCTCGAACTTAACTTTTGAACTTAATAGTCAAATGGCTAGTACATGCTCGGGCTTTACTAGCCATAAACGTGTTTCTACTAGTCTAGGCACTAATCTGTACAGCATGAAATAAAAAAAATGTCAAAAATCCTGTTGTTATCAAACATTAATAAAAACTGCATATCCATGACAATCACACGTGGACTGTGGTCGTAGATTAACATTTCAAGATGGCGGACATTTGCATCATGGGTACGGCTTGGCCCATTCTTCCTGGTGATACAAAATTTCAAACGCGAAACTGAAAACCGAATTAACAAATATTATTCTTATGTAGAATTACTTTTCTTTCTTTCATTCATGCCAGTTGTTAATGGGGGAATGAAATAAGAGGTTAGTAGAAGGTGCGGATCAACTGGGAAAATGTTGAAAACTTTTTAAGGCTTATGTTGTTTACAGGAGTGAAAATTAACTAGCCAAGATGGCTAGTAAATGAGCTAAATCCACTAGACAAAAATCAAAATCTACTGGTATTTGGCTAGTGGACCACCGCCAAGTTCGAGCCCTGTTCCCAATTCAGACCACATGGTGTTCTCATGGCCATGTGAGGCAAAAAAGGCAATAAAATTTCACCGTTTTGGTGAAATAGCTAAGGCTAACTGCCTCAGAAGATACTTTGTTAAAAAGATGTTTTCTTGTGTGTGAAGCAGACTTTAACATGCAGCCATACCTGCTCTACAAGTTTTAACAGGTTGTTTATTAAACTTCCTCCTCTGTGTAAAAGCTGTGAAATAATAAAAGTAGATATTAACTACAATTTCTAAACAACAGTACAAGAAACGCATGTTAACTCCACGTGTAACCAGGGAAAAGCAACATCCAGAATCTTTAAGGAGCAGGAGGAGGAGAAAAAGCGGAAGTACCAACAGAGGGTGCTGGACGTTGAAATGGGTTGGGAGCCGACTGCAACTGTTTTCTCAAACGCCTAGCCGAGAAACTCTCAGAAAAGAATGAGGAACCTCATCACATTACTATTACTTGGATTAGAAGACTGCTTTCTTTTGAGATTTTAAGGTCCGTACACACATCCATAAGAGGTTCTCGGACACCCTTCCACAAAATTCCACAAGGGGATTTCATTGATGACTGCCATTTAAACGCTACCCAAGCACGTGTGATAATGGCACGAGCTCGTAAATTGGTTTAGTTGGAATGAAACGTTTTTTAATTGAATTTTTTTTTGAATATATACATTTTTAATGGCACTAATTTTTTCAATGAAAATTGAAACGAACTGTAAATAGTGTTTTGACTGAACAGTTTTTTAAGTGAAATAAATTGTAAATAGGATTTGATAGTTAGCTCTGCTATCAATAAAGTTTTCATTTATTATTAAAATTAAAGCATTTGTTTTATGGTACAAGAATCTAATAAACAACAATATTTATAATGTATTAAAAAAGAAATCTGATTCTTCACACAAAGGCAAAAAAATATCTCATCACATACCTCTCCTAAAGTTGGGACAATGCAGCACCAACATTTGAGAACAAACAATTCCTTTTTTTCTGCACACAACTTGGGGAACTCGTTCAGTAAATACTGCACAGGAATAAAATAATAACGGATGAGCCACCCCTTAAGGAATCACTCAAAATGCCAAGATTTTAGTGGTTGCATACATGAGGTGATTGCTTATCAAAGTCCAACCATGAGGGGCTTTTCCAGACAGCAGGATTATTTGTCATTTATACTGTCAGTAGGATGTTACCATTCAGAGAAACCTCTTTGGCAGACCTTTTTCATAGCACTATTCAGGGTTCTTTTTAAGTTTTAAGTAGACAGCTAGGATGTGAAAGTACATTTTATTTTATTTATTTTATTTTATTTGCCACACAATAATTACAAAAAATATAGGAAAAGAAGAAAAAAAAAAGTGGCAAGGAGATCCAACAGAAACTATAGGAGCTTATGAGAGGTTAGGCCTCCTCAAACTATGAGCTAGAGCTGTTTCACATCACATCACAGCCACATGCAGGTGGCTTGGTAAAATATTGAGTACTGTAGGCAGTTCAGGCTTTCACTCTCACTTTATTCTTTTTCCCAAAAAAGTAGGTAGCTTAAACCTCTAAGTAGCAGTTTTTTAGCCAGCTGCCGGCACTTGATGAGAGCCCTGCTATTTATTTCTTGGTGGAGGCGTGTAGCTGAGCAGTTAACACCTCCATCTATGGAACTGGAGGTCTAAAGTTCAAGCATTGTCCATTGCAGTGTTTCTTTACTCTCTTTAGCCAGGCCCCAGTTGTTCAAAAGGTGGATAACACTATCCACTGGATAACACAATTGGTTTCCCTAATACTTATTTGCTGGATAGTGATTTATCCATTAAAAGGACTATCCCACATTTGAATAACCAGGGCCTGGCCCCGGTTGTTCAAACATTGGATAACACTATCCAATGGATAAATATCTATCCAGTGGACAGTGCAATCGGTTTTCCTAATACTTTTCCGCTGGATAGTGATTTATCCGATGGATAGCGCTATCCAACGTTTGAACAAACAGGGCCAGGTGTATAACCCTGGGATGGACAAGCATCCCATCCAGTGGAGAATAGTAATACTCCTAGGCATGCTTCATGCTAAGGAAACCTGATAAGCTCCAGCCGTTTCAGTGCCTTTGGCTCATGTGCTCCTTTACCTTTTTTATTCATTTCTTAGAATTTATAAAAAGAAAATATTAATTTATTTCTTTGGACAGTTGCTAGTTATTACCTACCCCCTTCAACAGAGGAACAAGAATTCTTGCAACTTTTTCTCGGGCCGACATCATGTGCTCCAACCCAGTAGACATAACAACTAAAGCTTTTTCACGCACCTGTGTGAAATAACAAATTCAAGAGAAAAAACTACTAAATATCAACAAAATTAATAGAAGATCAATTACCCACAGTCTATGTCTTATAGACTATAGAAATGATGTCTAGATGTTAAAAACTCTGGAAGGGAAACTGCAGCGACCTGCAGGCAAGTGGTTTCAATGTAAAGTTATAAACATGTTGACATCATTTCTATGGTCTAAAAGAGTGTAAACCACTTATAATAATTTGTTGACTGTTTGTTTTTTACGATAACATTGTCAGTTGTTAAACGTTCATTTCCAGTGAAGTTTCTTGGTCTCGCACATGTCTCATAGACCTGAGCCCTCATTAAATCAGCGCACAATAAACTGTTAAATTATTGAAAATTAACATTTTGTTTGAAACTGACTTAAGTGAAATTGAGACATAATTTGTCCCTCTCTATGTCATAAAATGTAAAATAAAAAAACATCTTACCCATAAAATACCAAGTGTAACAGTCCTTACCTTTGGCGCTGTGCTTACTAGCTGAGGGAAAATTAGCTTTGCCCAAGAGTTGACAGTCTTGATCATATCAGGCTTTGGAAGCTGTTGCAGCAGTCTGTTTAATAAATATCCAGCAAAAAATTCATAAACAAGCAATTCTTCCGTTATACAGTGGAACCTCTATCCAGGGGACACCCTCAGGACCATGGCAAGTGTCCCCTGCAGGGGTGGATCCAGGATTTTTTTAGGAGGGGGTGCACTCGTCTCTTGCTCTACTTCAACACCAATAAACCACATAGTTTTTTTTAATTTTTTTGCAGAATACCAGTTTTATTAAAAAACCACAGGTTATCTCAGGGGGGGGGGGGTGCGCACCCCCTGCACCCTCCCCCTAGATCCGCCCCTGCCCTGAATAGAGGTTGGGCTAGGGTTTGCAGGGGTTTCAATAGAAATTGAAGTAGCTAGCTGGTTTGAATAGAGTAAACAACTGTATCGACAAGGGACCATTAGTCTCCTTTTTTTAGGGGTGGGGGTCTGGGTGTGGTCTGCTCCAGAAAATTTTGAAATTTCAAAGCCCTAAACTGCGATTTTCAATGTTCCAGGGACTAAATTTAAGGACGAAAGAGCGTGTTTTTCATTGAAGAAAATTTAGCTTTCAATTTAGCAGTCACACAATCAATTCCAACAAGCAATGAAAAATGGTTGAAAACTTAATTACGTATTTTTGCACGTAAACAAATTCTGCGTACACATATAAAGAAACTTGTGAAAAAATGACAAAAATATAGTGTTCAAGTGACTAATGCATAACGTAAAACCAGTGGGCCATTATGAAAACACATCATAATTACATTTTCAGTCAAATTTTGATGTATTTTTTGTTGACAATGTTATTCAAACTAGTTGCTTCTTCTTTGTAGTAAAAAAGAAGCTGACCTCTATGAGCAAAGTAGCCAATGAGTTTTGTCGGCCGTTGGTGCTTATAGAAACCCCTGAGTTTGTTAATAATTTTGTATTAACCAACAAATAAAAAGTATTTCTTTTGTCCTGCCTCGGAATCTGCTGCAGTCATTATTTCAAGCAGCTAGATAATGTACAAGAAATCATGATTAACTTATCTCTGCAATGTTGTGTGACTGTCGAATTGCCACGAGTGCAGTACATCAATTTAAGCGAGATAGCTCATGTTGTGAAAGCATCTTAAATAATACGCGAACTTTCCATATAAATGGCACATTTCGTCTAAAATAAGACGCAGCTTAGCTAAGACGCGTCTTATTAGATAAGACATGCTCGTATAAATGGTACAGTTCGGGTCTTATTTAAGACGCGTCTAATTTTTCGTCGTATAAATGGCCCTATTGTGAATGATGCGCTCTTAAACTTATCAATGCTTTTTGTATCCAGTAACTTTTTTAAGTGCTAAGGTGTCCCCTGAATGGAGGTTAAACCTGGGTTTTGGGACCCACAAAGTGTCCCCTTCCCTTGAATAGAGGTGTCCCCTCAAAAGAGGTTAAGTAGATCCTAAGATTATGTGAACATTTTTCCACGACCAAATTTTGTATCCCTTGAATATAGGTGTCCCAAAGTAGAGGTGCCACTGTAGATCCTCTCCTCTCAAGTTTGGTTGCTCAATGGTTATTACCCAAGATTTAACAGCTATCTTTTATGTTCTCTTACAGAGTGTAACCAGACACAGATTATTACAAAACCACACTGATGTGGCAAGCTAAGGGTTAAAAGAAAAACATGACTAGTATAATTACGTAGCGACCTGGGCTCTTTCTAGTAATGGGAGTTGGACGTGGTAACTCCAATACTAGTAAATTATTTCCTGTAAAGACAAGTTTATTTAACCTTGTTCATCATAATTTGCCTCCAGTTTGTCAAACCACTCATGCAATCTCCTTTAACCAGGAGGTTTAAAAAATTGAGATTCCACTATAGAAATTTACTGTCAGCTACATGTAAAGTCAATGGTACTAAAGTACATGTACAGGTTACCTTTCTATTACACTGAGAGCTTCATGATCAACTGTTACAGACTTCAGATCCTTGGCAATAACAGACTCCAAGGTAAACAAAATCGATTCAAGCTAGAAGGAAAAGTTGAATTTATTTAATTATAACTGGGTTTTTAGCCAGGAAATCATAAGTGCCATAATCACCATAATCATAATCATAATCACCCCCTGCTTAAAACCTAATTTCCAGCACAACATTAATGATAGTAATCAAGAGTATAGTTCAGATGAAAAACGCCTGACACATGTATATACACACACAGCTGCAGCCTGCAGTAGTGAGAGTGACGTCCTCAGAAAATTCACGGGAGGAGTGAAGTCACCAGTTACACTCCTAGAGTAGTGGGGTGGGGGAGTCGCTCAGTGTCTGGGTAAGGAGGCAATGTACTCACATAGGTTTTGAGGGGTTCAGTGCACCTTACAAAAGTTTTGCCATAGATTTTTGATTTAAACAGTAACACCAAAAGATTTTGTCCAGATTTAGAAGTTTAAGAGTGACAAAAAATATGGCCATAAATAAGTCTAGGAGTGAAGGGGTTAAGGAACACACATGGGATACAGAAAATATGATTACTCGTACCTTGGTGTTTACAATAACACCATCCAAATTCTGCTTAGAAAGGCACCATAGCGCTCGCGTGCACACTCCTTTATCATCAGACTCTTGAATTCTTGTCAGCAAACCTACAAAAAAACGTTTAACCACTATCATTATGCATACCTTCTTCATACAGACTATGCTTACTATTATCCTTTTTGGACAAAATAAAGAAAAAGAAGACTTTAACATACTACCATGTTAATTGCAAATTACATGTTTTCAATAAATTATACTGCCACATACACTGTAAATGCTGGCCTGAAATAACTGCCACATTGACAAGTAACCAAATTTAATAAGTCCCACGCTATTCTTAAGAGTTAATATTACAAGGAAGGGAAATAAGAGAAGTACCCAGGAGTTTGTGGTGTTGCAAATGTATCAGGTTTCTACCAAAGCAGCAAGTGCTCTCATTTCTAGTAACCGGATACAATCCTTGGCCCACACGTGCACAGTTCAACACAAAAACCTACAAAACTACACTAACTGTAATCTCCTGTTTGATTTATTATAATAGCTTACTTCACAGCAACTCACCTTGAACAAGATCTTGACCATCGGAAATAGAAAGGGAGCTACAAAGATCAGAAAGAAGAAAAATGGTGGTTTAGGGACGTTGAATGGTGACAACTGCTAAAAAGTTCTGCCAGATTGCTATGTCATAATTATAAGCATGAAATGTGACCAGTTTTTGATGAAAATATTTTTGACACACATGGTGATGCTTATTTATCCAATTAATTAAGTAAAGCTTCACCTTCATGTCATATAGCAAGCCAATGACTAGCATCAAAGAGAAAATGAAGGTGACTTCTTGCATCAAGAAAAATAATTTTTTCAAATGCAGGTCACACTAACTTGTACTTCACCTTCATGTTATGTAGCACACTGATGACCAAAATTACCCCTTTTTTGCAAAATTTGTTCGGACTAAAAACAAAGACATTGATAAAACGAAAAGCAACGACTTGAGTGTAATACTGACTCTCCTTGTTTGCGAACTGAAAGTATTTTACAGTATTTAACTATTTGGCCTTCAGAATTTTTGCTTTTCTTAGTTACAGACATTACGGACATTACAGATACACGAAATGAGTGCAAAAATGTAAACACCATAAGTTGAGTACCTTGCAATTTGCTCTTGGTAGAGGCAATGGCCGAGAGCCTGTAATGATGCTTGGCAAAGGTCTGACCTGTCTGATTGGATATCTTGCTACAAACATAAAAGTTAAACCAAGAATGATGCTTAAAAGACATGGATTCACTGTTGTATGAAATGCTTAGCTTCAAATTTGAAATCCTGTATGCAAAATGAGCCTTTGAAGGCCGCTTCACACAAGCAATATAAAGACAAACACACCCAGAGGCTGGTGTTTTTGACCTAGCCAAAATGCTTAACCCTTTAAGTCCCAATAGTGACCAACATCAATTTTCTCCTCACAATATCCATACAATGTCAAGAGATTAGGTTATGAGGATTAATAAACTGATCACCTTAGAGAAAATGCTTTGATCTTTTATCAAATTCACTCAACTCATTCTTTAAGGAAATGTATAGAGATCAGTTTGGAGAATTTGTACATGTATATTGCGGCTTAAAGGGTTAATTAGGTGCTGGCCCCTTCTACCTTTCATCTCTCACAGTCCACCACAGTCAAGTTTCTTTTTGAGTCAGATCATATCTCATGTAGATAGCATCTTATCAATGGTCAGTGAGTATCAGCGAGTTCAAAGAGATGGACTGCTCCAGAAATAACAAAAACGCTGTGCACACAGGGTCCCGGTGCCCACTTTTGTGCCCAAGTACAAGGTCTCGGCACCAGCACCATTACTGAATTCTAGAGTGGTTACTTAAAAAAAGGGTGTGTTCACATTAGTGCCAAGTGAGGCCTGTTTCAAACGCCATGTTACTGCCATGCCAAACTCAATTGACTGAATTAAATTTGACTTTAGCACGGCAGTAGCAGACTTGGTTTCAAACGTCATGCTACCGCTGTGCTCTGTGCCAAACTCAATTCATACATTATAAATACATTAGAATACATTTAAAAGTTTGGTAAACCGTTTCTTTATGTTTGAGTTTTGTTTTTGGCAACAGCTTTTCTATTCGACTGAATTAAATTCGATGTCTGAAACCAAGTCATGCAAGTGTCATGTTACAGTCGAGCTACTGTCATGCCAGCTTTGCATGGCAGTAGTACAACGTTTGAAACTGGCCCGAGTACTGCACTCAAGTACCGTGCTTGGGTACCAAGTGTGACACAACACTCCACACCCTGTGCTTGTGGACATGATTCTGACTGTGGCTCTGTTGCTGTTAAAAAAACAGCATTTAATATCTTTAACTTACCTTAAATACCAAAATAACTCTTTGAATAAAATTAAGCAGCTCATTTACAAATACTTCTTCTTCCTCTCTTAATCGGCTGAAAATATTTTGAAAAAATACATTAACACAATCATCAAAAATTTAATTTCACACCTAATAAGCTTAATTGTATTGTCACAAAACCTGTTCTCTAATATTCTTCCCTCCCTCTTTAAGCCAGCCTTTGTTAACCTCATGGTGACCCATTTTTGTTGTTGTTACAGCGAGAAAGAAAGGGAGCAATGAATTAATGACGTTCTTCACAGTTATAAACATGTAGAGACATTATAAGAGGCAAGCATGATCAAAACAACTTGATCAATTATTCAAAAACCGATGGAACAAATAATATCTATCACCAACTGGCATTGACGAAAGAAACATTACTCCTGTTCCTTAAGGCTTGAGTTCGTGTTTTTCTTGGTAAAACGTAAAGACTTAAGCTTACTCTGTCATCCGGAGGTAAGCGTCCACTTTATCTTCTCCAGCTGCCCTCTTATCCTCTAGAATTCGAAGAAGAGGTTCAAAAAGTCCCTCACACTCGGGTATGGTTACCATGTTGCTTGCTTTTCGAGATGTTCTTTAAAAGATCGGACCACAATTTATGTGAGAAGAAGAAAAAAGATCTAATTAAGCTCATGACATTCTGTTTACAGCATCACGATGTCAAATGTAATTTGAATGTAAGCACGCTTGCAGACACGTCGATCGAGCAAAGAAACAGAAACGCGAGTCGATAATCGATCTTAAACAACAGTTTCATGTGAAAACGTTTTCACTTTACCTTTTCGATATGATTTCAGCATAAGAAGGTATCGTAGAGCAGGAAAAAACAGCAAATGTTTCGTTCTTCTTAGGAGATGCGCATTCAGGTCTCTCACTGCCGCGAAGGTTTCTCTGCAAATCGCGCCAAATTTATGAATCCATGATCTGATTGGCTGCTTTCATTCTAGCCCAGGTTTCCTCGATCTTTACTCCACCTCAGTTTAAAACCGAGGCTAGGTGGAATGGTCAGTGATAAGGGAGGAGCAGCTAGCAGAAGCTCCATTGTGCGAAATGATAATATTATGTGAAAGAAAAATAGTATTTAAGCCGTCCTCAGAGGAGGCCAATCTAGTCTGGGCCTGGCCGCCGGGGGGCACTTGGGTACCTTTTGGGTGGGTATGTGCCCCCCGGGACTCCAAATTGGCACCCCATTCTAAAAAAAATTTCCCATAAAACTGATACCCCGTTCTAGAAATGGGCCAATTTTTTATACTCCGTTCTCGAAAGTTTGTAAATTGAAATAGCCCTGTATTTTAAAAACAGATATTTCTTTATATATTTGTTCGACTTATACATCGAAAATAAATGCTTCTTCATAATAAGCAACAATTTTAAGCAGAAGATAAAGCCATGATCCACAATTTTTTATATCCCGTTCTAAAAAACGCCTCTGAAATGGATACCCCGTTCTAAATCAGGAGCTTCAAATTCACGACCCCGTTGGGTGGCACATACCCGTATAGGTAATGTGGGAGTACTCCGCCGGGGCCTGGCCCAAGCTTTATTGTATCATTAAAAGGAATATTCCGAAAAATACAGTCAAGTAAGAGTTGTGAAGAAGTTGTCGTTTAGTAATATTTGAATGCTTTCTTGTTCCTTCTTGTTTTTTATCTTTTTTCTTCATTTCATTCATTTAAGAGCAAAAGTGTGTGTTCTTGTGGGACATAAAAGAACCCACATCACTATTTGAAAAGAGTAGGGGTCGTAGACCCCAGTGGTGTTGCCAACCATCAAGGGTTGTGGGATTGGGTGTGGATGGCACCTCGCATGGGACCTGAGTCCCGTTCGTGCACATTCCCTCCGGACAGGCCTCTGTCCACAAAAGCTGGTAAATGAATAATATAATAATATAAGTAATAGTAACCACACCAGCTTACAGCAAAAGCATGGTTATATGCTTCTGCTTACAGTTACTGTAAAAATATGCTTGAATTAGCGCAATAATTAGGACTTTGGAGTTTCAAAAACTCTCACTTTCAAAATGAGGCTAAGTGCAAAACCTTTCTTGTGAAAATGAGTTTTTCAGCAAGAGATTAAAAAATCATCTCCATATCAATAGCTTCACATATAGCCTCACTTTGAAACAGACACTTGGGAAAACTCAGAGATGGCCTATTCCAAGGGGTGCTTAATAAAAGAATAAACTTTTTTCATTTTCTTTTTTTTTGTTCAATTTCAGCGTCAAAATAGTATTAACTAGTTTAAGCATGCATATGAAATAGAGAGTGGTTGCTCCCAAAAGTCTCATTTCCTCTGAAGTCTTCTTAGACCCTTCTCAAGCATCAAACGTCACCTGCCAAACCTAATGCTAATCAGCAAAATATATTGTTCTGACATACACTTTCCTGTGGGACATCCAGAATAATCAACGTCAAGGTTAAGTGTCATCAGCCAAGCCGAAGGCCGAGGCTGATAACAGTTACTGGGAACTTGATTTTGGATATTACAAAACTGAATCTAATAATAGGTTTTTTATACACTTTTTTGAAGAAAATAATGACAGACACACCATCGCAAGGAAGCAAATTGACATTGTCCTTGGACATCATGCATTGCGCATGCAACCTACAGACTAGTCAGTTATTTGCTTGCAGATAACTACTATTGTCAATATTGTGAAAGGTTTGAACCTAGGAGTCATTTCAAAAGTAGGTTGAGTTTGATCATCCAGGTGAACGTAGTCCTGAAAAGGATTGTTGTTGTTGACAGTGACTGACATTTCGACAACCTGTGTGGTAGTCATCTTCAGAGTCAAAATGAGTTGACTACCATCAACTGACGTGATACAACTCACTTTGACTCTGAAGATGACTACTGCACAGGTTGTCCAAACGTCAGTCACTGTCAACAACAACAGTCCTATTCAGGACTACGTTCACCTGGACGATCAAACTCAACTTACTTTTGATTATTAATATTATTTATTAATCTGTAGTTTGCGTTGATTTCCAAAATTAACTGCAGGCTCTAGCCAAAGAGTAAAGAGTAAAGTCTACAATAACTTATGGCCATCAATCAAGACAAAATGTTAAATTCCAAAAAAGGCGATTATATTTCATCACCGTCAATTCTACAGATATTATACATTAATTTCTTAAATTATAAATATTGTATTACTTTTAGTACACTTATACAGTGCAACTTTTGCAATAAAATACTTAAAATAAATTGTCAAACTGGACACAGACACTTCTGATGGTGTTGGTTGTTTTGGTTCACATCATCAGTGGACAAACACATTTACAAGTAAATTAAAGCTCTCAGACGAATAGTTTATTTAAACATAATTACGAACCATTATATAGCCAGTTTATTGCATGCAGATAAGGCAATAAAACACTAACTCACTACACAGCCAAATTAATATAATTTACTCATTTCATAATTATTTGGTAATTAGATGAATACATTATGCACAATAACGAAGTTGCAAGTACAGTCAAATCTCTCATACCGGTAAGCGACCACCTTGAAAATTCGAAAAAGTGGTTGCAACTACAGCTGGTTGCTTAGGAGAATGAACCCTTATAAGCAACTGCATGGTAAAACAAAAGGGAGTGGTCGCTTATGAGAGCTTCAGAAACTCATTAATAATTCATAAAGAAAATTTAAACAAAGGATATTTATGTTTAATGAGTGTCTTTATATCTGATGTAGACACAGTTAAAAATTACATCAATGCTTTAGACCATTAGCGCAGTGCGCAGTTTCATTGATTAATGGTTGCTGAGTGGTCGCTTACAAGAGCTTAAAAACAAAGTGGTTGCGGTCACTTACAGGAGTGGTCGCTTGCGAGAGCTTTTCATTACACAGTTTAAGTCACAGTTCAAACGGGGTTTCACAAAGGTGGTCGTAACTCGAGCTGGTCGCTTATGAGAGTGGTCACAAGGAGAGCTTCGACTGTAGTGAGCAATGTATTAAGTGTCCATGGGGGTCATAAAGAATCAAGTGAATTACAAAATGTAAGACTTGCTAAGGCACTGAGACCTTTAATATAATACAAGACTTCGCAGGAAAAAGGCTAGTTACACTCTATACTAACCTGGAACAAATTTGGTACAGTTTCATTTTGCCATTTACACATAGATGCATGAATCCATAATAAAAACATCCCAGCTTGATCATGTACCTGAAGATTTTGAATCCCAAATTCAAATCTAGTTAAAAGTGAATACTTTGTATCCAAACAAATCAGTTCTCAGATTCACTTTGAGTAAAAAGCCTCCAAATCGGAATACCCTAGATGTACATAATCAATCTGGAAACATTTATGTCGAAACCTGCAAAATCTCGTCTAGTATAAACCTACCAAAAAAAGTTCACAACTCTTGAAACAGAAAAAAATGAGACATTGCAAACACAGCTAGATCAACACTAAAAAGATCAGATTAAATTTTTCTAAGAACCAACAGCACTAGTAACTTCACTTTTGTTCAACAGCTTTCTATATCTTGATTACAGTGATTCAATAATTTTATTAAACATTTTATTACATCCATGTAGAAAATTAAGCTTTTATCCATTTTGATATTTTGATGGGGTGCATCAATAAAAGCCCTGAGTCACTTATTATAATTAACTGCTACAATACTTGTCAAATTAGACTGAAACTGTTGTATTTTCACGTCAGGCCTTCTCAACCCACTTTTTTTAACTTTCCTCGAGTGAACTTCTTCTCCCCTTACCCAATTATGTTGAGATTCATGTATATTTGCCAATGGATGCTAATTTGTGAATCAACATTGGGGAGGCAGCAATGTGACAAGTGTTTCAACAAATGTGAGGAGTATTGTAGCTTCTCCTTCAAAGTTACATGTACCTTGTATTTGCTTATCCGGTCCTACACACACCCTTTTTATAGTAGAATATACATCTGTATGCATGTATCTTACACACTTTGCATGGATATTATCAAAACTTAACTTAATAAAATATATGGAGTGCATAATATTATTGTATTGTTGTTAATTTATTTAACATCCCAATGTGGCATAAGCAAGTTTATGACTATATAATTTGCAGTTACAAAAAATATCCATACCCACCCCCCCCTCCACTTTGATCGGATTATTTTAAGCCCCGGGGGGGGTGCGGATGCTCGGAAATTTTGAATTAAACCCCTAAAGGAGACCGATCTGGGCGTGGCCCAAGCTTTTTAGAGACCATGTTAAAACACAGACAAATGAGAAAACTTGGATTATATGAATGGAGTGAATAAAACGAATTAAAAATATACATACCAAATATATATTTTTACATTTTTTCATGTGCAACCCTAAATGAGACCTTCACGGCTAAATATGATGGCGTTTGGCCCAGAACACCCTAAATGAGACCAAAATCCGAAATTTACACCCCTAAGCGAGATGACGAGCATCCCCACCCCTTTCAGTCCCCCCCCCCCCTGCCCAGGATTTTATGATCCCCTTCCCAGTCACCTGGAAATTCCAATTAAGCATCACACATTTCTTTCACCTGTCTGCTTTCAAACTGAAGGGGAGAATAAAATTCTGAACAGAAAACACCCTTGAAGTAAGGCATAATATAATATTCAATCAGTTTTGACATCTGTTGAGTTGAGGGAAGGTGAATCAGTTACCATGGAGACATTTTGTCCTTCGTCAGATTGAACCCCAGACTGACGTACGTGTGCCTAATTTAGTCCCCTTTAGCTTATGTACATTTTCTTTTGTCACTTAGTTTATATGACAACATTATTTATTCCAATTGGCTGCATATGTGGTACAAATAATGTACATTCAGGGCTTGAAAAAAAACTTGAATGCCTGCTTCTCCTTTGGGCAAGCAGCTCTCCTGTGGCCACTTCTTGCTTGTCTTAGTTAATGATTAAGTTAGAAGATGACTTGCTTAGACCCTTGCCCATTACCATTGGGCAAGCGAATTTTAACAGTTACTTGAATTGCCCAGCAACATAATCAACTTGTCCCTGAGACTGGAAAGGACCTTTTTCAAGCCCTGGTACGGGGTATTTATTACTAGCAGTGACTTTGTTACAAATAGTTATAGTGAGACATGGGACTCATCTTGTGAAAAATCGTGACACGCAATTCAAAAAACAATGAGCCCTAAAATAAAAAAAAAAGCTTGCAGGGTCTTTCTGTAACCAGACAGTTAATCTAGAGACAGACTCCAAAACTCTTTAGTACAGTTTACTGAAATTAAAATAATTTATAGCCCTTCCATTTAAAGCACAAAAAGACTAAAATAAATATGCATGGTTAAACAACGTCCACAATAACAGCTACCGAAATCACACGAACAGGATATTCTACAAAAACATCTTCAGATTGATCAATCAATCAACCTCTGCATCCCTTGAGATGAATGCCATGAATTATTTTGTGTTTGGGGACTCAAATTTTTATGTGTCAGGGCCACACGATGCAGAGGTAGCAAAATCACTGTTTATTAGAAGTGAACTTATTTCAAAGACTTTAAATCTCCGGAAGGCAATTCCCTCCACATAATTAAGTCCAATACACACAAACTGAGATGGGTATTGTAACATGAAAGTCAACCCCTCTACCAGCAATCTAAGATTATTGTGATGTGTTAAACAGATGTGAACTTGATCACCAGAAGTCGCAATCGCTTATGTACCCCTCAGTAATATCTTGATGGATCATATGAGATGGCGAAGGGGTTGTTTGACTTGATTATGATGAACATACCGTGTTATAGGCAATTAACGACTGATGAAATTTGCCCCCAAAGTTCTTGAGAAACTTAATATTCTTGACACCATGAAAGAGGATCATTATGGAGAATTCTGCCAGTATCTGTGAAACTTTGAAGAACCCTTGGAGAGGCCAGTTATCTTTGCTTGGCTCCCTATGTATGTTTAGGGAAAGTAACACGAACAAAGTTTCCATTTCGGATTATAAATTTAACTTTGTTTCTAGTCAGCTGTCTTTTATCTCAACAGGTTTTGTTTCTTTTATGAACATAGCATTAATTACCTTCATTTTGAAATGCTAACCTCCCTTTCGTGTTAATTGCCTTTATTCAAAAGCCACTTATCATAAATTTTGTGTTAAAATTAAGTGTTGCATTAACTTCCAATGCCTTAATTTCCGATAAGGTAACTTAATGTTAGACAAACCGCTCAGTTCACTCACATTGAACAACCCTCGAAAGGCCAAGGTGCCCATTTTGAGCATTAAGGTAAATGCACCTTTGACAGTTCTAGTTCACTTCTGAAAGGCTCTTCTTTTAAACCCAGTCTGCACGTTCTTGTCCGCGAGAACTCTCTTGTTCAGCTTGAGTTTCTTCAGCTGCGATGTCTGGTGTAGGGAGTTGATTTGGAGTGCAAGTACTGTGTTGCGACCTCATGCCCGCCTTGCTGTTTTGTTCTAATGTGTAACATTCCACCACCACATTGCGATTCAGGGCTGTCCAGCGTTTTGAGTACTGTTTAAAATGTTTCAAGCTGTCAAAATACAAGCCACCTACAGCCAGAGCAATGAATAAGCCATTCACCATATATGCAAACTTGACCTCCTCCGTAGTCCGTTCTGCAATGGCCGATGGGGTTCTGCTAACACGAGACCAAATGATCCAAGTAATGGAAGTAAGCAGCATTGTTGCAAAGGCAATAAAGAGGCCAATGTGCAGCCATCCTTTGGTACTTACTTCTGGAAATCTCCACTAGAGAGATATATAATCAGGAGGTTATAAATATGCTTCATTGACCAAGCATGAGGTCCAGATGGCTGAATAATATAATGGCCAATATTCAGCCATCTTGACCCAACAAGCTTGGTCAATACAGGGTTTATTATATGGCGAAAAACAGAATTTTTCTTACAGGACCAATGTGGGAAATACTGAGTGAGCAGGATGGGCCAATCTTGCCCACCAGGTAGCCGATCAGAATGCAGAATTTGCTTCATCTTGCCCGCTTGCGGATTCAGCGAGCCAGCAAGCAGTAGTTTCTCTTCAGAATTAGGGGGAGCAAGGATAACCCAGTGCTGAGACCACTTAAAATTCAGCAAGGAACCATGTAAGTACACAGCCACTTATTATTCAGGCAGTGGCAGCCATAGACAGCTGTTTCATCCTCATTAAGACTCATCAGCATAGCATAGCCCTTGATGAAAGATCTCACTTATGATCACCAACCCCGCCCAAAATGGCTGCCATTACCTGGGTGATATAATTAGCCATACCCCAGAATTGGTAGGGTGGGCTTCCTTCCTAATTTTGCTTCCGATTACACTAACGTGACCTGGGTTTGAGTCCCCACCCTATGTAAGTTGAGTTTGTTGGTGGTTACATTGTTTGCTCCAACAGCTTTTTACCCACTGGTACTCTGGTTATCTCCTCCCCTCAAAATCCCAAAGTCCAATTTGACCTAGAAAGTTTGTTGGTGTCACTTGCGTATATTTTAGTCAATGACTAAAATGACTAACTTCCCCACTGAAGCGGTGCAAGACCCATAAGGGCCACGGTTATCCCCAGCACTTTGTCATATTACCTATGGAGAGAGAAACAGTGCTGACCCAATTTTCCTTTTCCTAAAAAGGAAATGATATTATGACCAAGGATAGAAACCCAACCTCAAGATCTGAAGACAAAACAAAAAGACCTTGAGCATTGAGGTTCTACAGACTAACGCCCTAACGATAAGTAATTTAAGCATGATTAATATATGTTGGGAAAAATTTCAAGTTTTCATTAGTCAGCAAGATCTGGGATGATTGGGTAAGAGTAAAATCCCTGATCATCTGGGATTTTCCTAACATATGAAAACCAGGCTTTATATTAGGAAAAAAGTTTGTAAATAACCAACCTTCCAGAAGCACTTGACACTCTCTTTTCGTGTTTTAAATTTAAAATTACACAGCTCACAGGTTTGATTTCCAGATTTGGAAACCCAGTGTAATATACAGCTTTGATGGGCGTGCTTCACTGTTCCAGTACATCGGCAAGGCCTGATAAGTTCTTCTTCTTCACCGTCACCATGACATATGCGACACATCAGCCCACAACTGTCATTCATTTCAGTAACTTTACTTAGTGATGAAGAAATGCTTTGACCTTTGATAACATTTTGCCCAGGCTGCTGAACTTTAAATGTAGCACTGCTTAAAACAGAAGCTGAAGTGCTCTTTCTTCCCATTAAATTGTCACACAAATTAACATGTAAATAAGGTGTGCTTGCACTGTTTGATCCTGAAGACTTTAAAACTAGCAGACTTTGAGATATGGTTTGCCTTTTCAACTTTTGTTTATGGCAAACCTCTTCCTTAATCACTGGTCCACTTTGTGAGCAAAGAAAGCAGTACTCCAGCGATGATGACCTTGGGTCAATCTCCTCCTCAACAATCGACTGAGAATCAACTTCAACAGCCTTATCCAGAACAAGATCACATTGTTCTAAATCCCTTGTTCTGATTTCCTGTTGATCTGAACCTTCCACTGGAAGTAATGGTTCACTTACCATTGCAAGCTTTTTATGTTTTACTTGAAGTTTATATTTTGTTAAAGGGATACTCTTGGCCACTTGCTCATTTAAACACGGTAAACTTAAAGAAGACATCTGAAAAAAAGGAAGAAATGCAATCCCATGGCATGGGCAAATGCAATTGGTCAGTATTACAAACAGACTGCAGACTTGCTGTATACTGCATCTTAACCCTTTAAGCCCCAATATCCACAAGCAAATTCTCCAAACTGATCTCTATACATTAATTTCTTTAAAGAATAAGTTGAGCGAATTTGAGAAAAGATCAAAGCATTTTCTCTTTGGTGATCATTTATTAATTCTCATAACCTAATCTCTTGACATTGTATGGATATTGTTAGGAGAAAATTGATGTTGGTCACTATTGGGACTTAAAGGGTTAAGTGTTTTGTTTCGTAGTGTTTGGAAAGTAAACTAATAATAGCCTGCAAGCAAAACGTCAGTGGGTATGGGTGGAAGAGGAAATGAGATCTGTCTGTAGCACAATCTATGTTTCATACCAAGTCTGTCATTCCATAGTCTATATTTTAAGTTATGCATGTGGACAATAACCAGGTGTAACTATGCATTGCATGCATAGTTACACCTAAAATTTGTATAAAATGTGGGTTTCCTGACACTAAATGCATCAACCTGTATGGACCAATGAAAGACTTACGAGGCCCCCTTAATACGCCAGTTGCACATCTCCAATAGCGCAACTTATTTGCCCCCAAAATTTTGCATAACCTTTGTTTTTCATATTTCTCCTGGTACTACAGCCGTCCCAAGAGAAACTGAAAACAATGCATAAGCAAATTTTTTTTTTTTTTTTGGGGGGGGGGGAGTATATTGTCTGAATTTCAAAACCCATTGTTTTGCATATTGAGACAGAAGCTATTCCCTTTTGGTGTATTAATTTTGTACATGTATTTGCACTCTTCACTTTCACTGTCACTGTCTCAAACCTTTTTTGTGTCATTAATTGTAGCCATTTCAGCTGTCTTATGTTTTAAGGCCCTGTCACTTTTTGCGATTTTCCCCTAACAGGGCCTTACTTATCGGTAGTAGGGCCCAAGGTGAAACTGAAAATTGAAAGACAGCATTTTTTTTCCCCCAAGAAATTGAAACTTAAAATGTTAAGCAAGAAAAGGCAAGTTAAAAATTAGTTTCCCAAGTTCCAGTCATGCAAAAAGTTTGGTTTAGAGTTACATGTTATTATATTACTTCTTTCTAGAACTGAAACAATCTCCATCAAAGCTGATTCGAATATATTTTTACTTTTCAATGCATAACTTATAAGATCAAAAAAATGGGGTTTTCCCCCTATTAAACTGACAGTTACAAACAACCCTTACAAATAAAAACGAACAAAACCAATATGATCACAAATGTTTGATGAGTTAAAAATTAAACCCTCTATCAAAAAGGAGCTCAAAACTTTAGAAAATCGTCTTCAGAATAATTAACATTTCTGTAACTTAAATATTCCGGGTATTTTTTAAAACTAATGTTATTTGAGTCACATTAAGTAAACAAGTACCGTTGTTCCTATTTTTTGCAGTAATTAATGTCTCACGAGTTAAACACATTCGAGATTACTTAAAATAAAAGCTTACTTTTGAAAGATTCTTGAGTCCACTTCTTCTGGCCGATATAAACAAAGACAGAAAGCTAAAGTTCCGCCATACGCAATCGAAGCCCACGCGAGAAGGAGCAGAAACAGACCGAAGGCGCACACTTTATTTTGCCCGATCCTGTAAAAGAATGAAAGGATATGAACATATAAGTTGATCAGGGGAGGTATAAGCCATAATTTATATTGCCATCATATCTTTGAAAGGGATTTTCAATATTGGCATCGTTCGTTCAGTAAACATTCACGAGGAAAACGTGAGCTTAACTCGAAAACAAATAAGCGTCGACAGCTAGAGGAATTGTCCTTAAGAAATTTCACAACAAGTATAAGAAGCCAACCTGAAGGGCTTGTTTTTGGACCTGTGCAAGCTATTTATGCTTGAAATTCTACGGACTGCTCACAGATAACATAATTAACAAGGCTAGACCAATCTAACCCAAAAATGGCGGGCTCAATAAGCATTTGACAGGATGAAATATAGCTATTCACGGGACCGTTCACGCGCTATTTCGTTCGAAACCCGCCAATCATCACATGTAAATCTTGTGATATAAACTCATAGCGAAAGATGACAGTGTTTTTTACCTTGTTTTTCTTCATCTAGATGTTAATTCCAAGTTATCCGGCGGCTTCTAAGGCAAGTACCCTCGCATTTCTCAAGACAACAATTTACTTTGTTCTACTCGCACCAGTTTACTCGCAGCTGTATCTTGGCGTCCTGCCAAAGAAAGCGTTACGTAAGTCTTAATACCATCACTTTTCATAAACTTGTAAGAGACTCCTGTGAAAAGGAATGTGAAAAAGACCATTCGCAACTAATTCCCAAGAAGCCCAAGTTTGAGAGTTATGTGATGTTTGAGAGTGAAATTTTGACACATCGTTTGTGAGGGAACTTGCCCAAATTTGCCCATCGCTACGTCCAACTTCAAGCTTCCGCTTCCGTTTCCGTCCAAAATAGCCTTAATTAATGCGTCTAAACGGGATTTTGTCAGGGCATATTAACTATGTGTTGAGGCTAAATTTTAGCACATTCCCTCTTAGGTACGTGTCGACGATTTTAGCCTTACTCCCGGAAATACATTCACCAAGAGAAACGAAAATAGAGCCTTACCTCAACATTCATCTTCAGCCCCCGATCAGCACCCTATTGCATGAGTGCCTTTATTAGTCAAACATACTGCTCTTCAACACGAAATTTTTGCGGGAACAAATTTTTGCGATAAGGGCAGATTTGTTTTTCTTGCCGGGAATTAATTTTTTCGATTTTCAGAAAGTACCCAGTACCCAGCATTGATATAAATATTTTCGTTTTTATTGAGATAGATATTTTCAAGCAATAAACCAGTATTTCGTTGTTTCTGAATGAAAGAGACAAGCTGTGATTAAGCAGAAACGATTTCTCAGTGCTGTATTATTGTGTAGCGAGTTTAAGTTAGAGAATATCTACGTTGGAGTAAATTTTTGCGGAAAAAATGTTTGTGGTAATTTTTATTTGCCGGAACCTATTTTTCCGGATCGCTGGAAAAACGACAAAAATTAGACCCTTGTAAAATATCGCGCCACACGGCATAAATGAAAACGAACCATGCATGAAAGGGTGGCAGTATACTCCAAAATGCGAATTTCCTGTCACTTGTTCAGTTCCCATGAGACCGGGTGCGCAAGAAGCCACCTTCAGGCGTATAGAGATCAGAGACTTCAAATACTTGTTATGCGAATGGGACAAACACTCATCACTTTTATGATATGAAATGTCATATATTGGAACTGCGGAATGAAGAAAGAAATGCAAAGAAGAATATTTCTTATCCTTGGGGTCATCTACGCCGGTTACAACTTGATACAGGAGCCGCCTCATGAACATGTCTAATAAGTCGCTATTTCTACAAGTTATTGTCACTAATTGTGATGAGAACGTAATTAATCTAAACTTCTCTAGACTCCAAAACCCCAGTCGACTTTTTTCTCAAAATAGGCTTTGCAGGGCGCGAAATGCTGGCGTGAGAATTTGGCGCGAAGGGCGTGGGCCTGGACACACCCGTAGAACGAGACTCGCCCCTGACTAACTCTCTCTCGCTCCAGAACAGGGCGGATAAAGGTTATCCGCCCTGCTCTAGAACTTTCCTTTTACGTTCGCGTGCGGGTTTTTAACCTTCGGAAACACATAAATGACTGGTTTGTACTCTAAAGCGCCTCAAATATCCAAAATATTTTCGATTGTGTTACGAGTCTTTTAGCGTTTCTTATTGTGGTGTACGTGTTCAAGTCGGGAACGAATTCTCTTTTTATCTGTTAAGTTACCGTCTTAGTGAAGAAATATTAAGCTAAAAGGTTCATGTTCACAAGATAAAGTTAATGACGCTGTTGTCCTCAAGCTAATTGTCCACAAAAATGAGGCGGAAACAAGGACAAGTTTGCCTCTCGTTCGCGCGTCCTTTCGCAGCTTCATTTCACATTAACCCTTTGAGTCCCAAGAGTGATCAACATCAATTTTCTCCTAATAATACCAATACATTATCAAAAGAAAAGGTTATGAGATTTAATAAAATGATCAGCACCTCCAAGAAAATGCTTTGATCATTTATCAAATTCTCTCAACTACTTCTTCAAGGAAATGTATAGAGATCCGGTTGGAGCCGATTTGTATGTGGATATTGGGGCTTAGGGTTAAAAACCACCAGTTACGCAGGCTACGAATACGAATGTTCGCCGTGTGGGAGGCTAATTTGACACTTCACAAAAATAAAACAACAATAAAACTTTCCCAGCACAAAACTGACGGGAGAAATTGCTGCATTTACACTTTCATTTTTGGTGCCTAACGAAACTTGACCCGCCCTGGTATTGACTTTCCCTCCGTCTAATCACTGTATTTGTATTTCTATAACCCTTGAAACTTTTAGCACGCACAAGTTTCGATTCTTCTTCGGAATCTTAATAAGGTGATAAAGATCCACGTTCTGTGATATGAAAGAGTGCCAGGGGGCTCCCCCTGAAGAGTACTAATCAGTAAATCACAACATCTTACAACATTTCGTCGAGAAAAAAAATACTTTGAATAATTGTCAACGTATTTTTTTTGTCGACGAAATATTTATCATTTCGGAAAAGTCGCGGACCGAGGGCATCGCGGACTTATGAACGAAACGACGATTATCTTGGGCCAGCGCGTCGCGCCCGGGGTTTCCTCTCTCCAGATACCTCTGGAAAGCTGCACTTCTGAATTATGACGAAAAGTCTGATACGACCATATTTCGATCGAAAAGCGAAATAGTGGGAACTGCTCAAGATCAGTGCAACAGCATGGGGAGGGGCCGAGCCGGGGGGGCCTGGGCCTCCCGAATAAGGGGGCACGTTTAATTTGGTCAGCGGAAACGCTTTTCACTCTGCTCTTCGGTTTCGGTTCGATAAAGCGTCAAAATTATTTATTTTTTTGCTTCAACTAAGAAAAATTGCTGGAAATTAATGCTCTCCGAAGGCTGAGAATGCTATTTCAGAGACCCTATAGTTCAAAATCTTCCGGGGGAGCATGCCCCCGGACCCCACAAGCAGCTCGCGCCTTCGGCGCTCGTGATTGCCCCCTAATAAATCTAACCTTGCTACGGCACCAGACAGCACTGTTGCCTGCGTGCAGACGTCTCCTATTTCCTTGTTGCGGAGACGTCTGCACGCAGGCAAACAGCACTGAAGATTGATTTTCTTTCCAAATTAAAACAGTCAAGCATTTGGGATGTTTTTTAGTCGGGGGACGCCCTTTTCTGACGTAAAGGTCAGCGGATTGACCCATTACTCAATGCTAGCGCATGTATTCTGCTGCTTTTGATCCGGGAGATTCCACCGGAGTTCAACCATGGCGGAAAGCTGGTGTTACGAAGCGAAAATTACCTTTTGGGTTTTGAAATTATTCCAAGAGTGTTGAACGAAGCAAAGCAGATAACCACACGGCTTTCGACGGGCTACTCTATTGAAAAAATTTAGACGCGTGAACGTATTGTGCTCAATTCGCGGCAACAGATGTAAAGGAATAATTTAGCGGAAACCTCGTACTGATTTGCCCGAAAATCGTTTGAGTAGAAGGTGTGTGTTTGTGTGACTTCATCTCTGACCATGAGCTCAGCACACGGAGGCAGACGAAGACCGCTTACTAGGACCACGTCCTCTTCAGAAGACCAGGCTCTGAATCAAATTGCACGAGAGGTAAGCTAATGTTTTAAAGCGGCATTTTATATGTAGTAATCAATTATTTGATTTTGTGCAACCGTCTTTTGCACATCACTAGAAACCGGTCATAAACCTTCACTTAAGAAGTGAAGAAATGCAACGTTGGCGGGCTGTCTAGTTTATTTTAGCTCTTTAGAGGGCAACATCTCCTATATTCTAATTGAATAAATAACATTCTGAGTTGACGTACATTTCATGTACGGATGTCAGTTTCAATGACAAGTTTGAATCAACAGCAAAAGTCACGATTTGCCGCTGTTAATTTCAGTTCATTTGCAAACTAACCAGACACTTACAAAATGTTTGTGCTAAACTGGATAGTTATTTTGTTTTTCGCTTTAGTATTGTTAAGCTTTATTCATGTTTTTTGCCGTCTCTCTATGCGTCAAGGGCGTGTGTGAATGTCTTAACAAACATTGTTTATTATTTACGATACTACTCCCTGGTGGACTTCTTCGTCGTATTTATAATCGCCCTACTTTCGTTATTTCTTGCTAGTTTATCTCAACTGTTAATAAAGGACTCCAGCTGTTCTTGAATATAATTAAAACCACTTGTACTGCTCCTAAAATATAATTTTGCAATAATCATGGCACTAAATTATAAAGAAGGCAACATTTAAAATTTCATTCCATACAGTATTTCAACCAGAACACTGACATATCTGCAAACTACATGGACCACACAAAAAATTATGAGAAGTACATTCAATGCTGGTGATTAAACATGGAAACTTTTTCCTTTTGTAAAGTATAATTTTCTACATCATGCAAGGTTTATGCCGTCTTGTCTAATTGTTTATAAAACTGTTTTGGAAAAATTCTCCAGACATATTAAATATATCATAAATATTTTAATTTGAAACCCAAGACTGACTCTGCAATTTAATAAAACATGCATAAATCATTAATTTTCTGTTTAGCCTTGGCCATGGAGTATATTTGGACAATATTTTATGAATATTCACTATATATGGACACCCCTTTGTAGCTAAGTTTTTATCTCAGGTAATTTTTGTTTTTCTTTTTTGCGGGGTATGATATTGTATGCTAATGAAGTTGAAACAAAGGAAAAATAAAAATTACCTGAGCTAGAAATTTAACCACAACATTTAATACAGACGTGCAGACAAAGGATAGTTTTTCGGTGGGTGTCCAATTAACAGATACACAAAGTTAAGGGGCATAAGACTTAACAGCTGACAAGTGTCAAATAGTGCACTTGCATTTCTTTGTTCAAATGAAAATGACAAAGTGGGAAGCATGCAAAGCATAGATCTTTTGCTTTTTTACTTGTTTCAGCCATGTATAAATCTTAACAAGGGCTAAAAAAAGGGCTTGGGCAAGGCATTTTAAAGACCATCTGTGATTACACAGATTTGTTGATGCAGCATATCTTTGTGTATTGTGACATCATGATATCTTTGTTCAAATATCAATATTTGTATTGTCGAAAAAAACCCAGGGTTCACTAATATGTCAGTGTCTTTGCAGCCCAAGTCAGACATTGCAGGACTCCAAAAAAGTCCTGTCCAGTAGTCCAGGACATGTAGAGTTTTTTGCTGGGCAGGTGACTTTTAACCCTTTAAACCCTAAGAGTGATCAGCATCAAATTTCTCCTTGTAATATCAATGCTTTGTAAAACAGAGTGGTAATGAGAATTACGAACATGATCACACAAGATGAATTTACTTGATATTCTATTAACTTCTCCCCATTACTTCTGTAGGAAACAAACAGGGGTAACAAATGGGAATTCAAATTTTGATCTTGGGGTTTAAAGGGTCCAGGCAAGTCATCTTTTAAAAAAGTCATTAACTACGATGAGAACGAAGTGGCCCCAGGTGAGCAAAAGAGGAGAGCTGCTTGCCTAAAGGACAAGCTGGACAAGTTTGTTTTAACCCTGCACTGAATATTTTTTTGTATTCTCATTTGAAGGCTGAGGCCCGCTTGGCAGCCAAAAGGGCAGCAAGAGCTGAGGCACGAAGTATTCGTCTGAAGGAACTTGAACGTCAGCAACAAGAAGGCGAAAATGTATGTCTATGGAGTCATACTTTGCTGTTATTACAGACAGTGGATATTTGTACATTCATTGTTTGCAGCTTTATTTAAACTTATTTTGGTTGTGTACCAAGATAAATCCCCCATTTTACATGTCTTTCTTTTGGTCAAAATTGCCAGACAGGGTGATTGCACTTAATTTGAAGTTTCTTGTCAAGTATGTCTAGTTCATTTTGTTAATACTGCCAATTACAGTACACTTCCTTTTATTGAAGAAATATTTTGTAAATAACAAAATCACAGCTTCTTGTCCAACAAAAATGGATCCTAAATATTACATGAAATGTCACAAACTGCAAAAAAAAAAAAACTTTTGAAAACTTTGAGTAAAAAGTTTTCAAAACCTACAATAAATATATATGACCATGAGTTTCATCTTTCTCAAGTTCATCCATCCTTACCTTCATTGTATTTGCCTTGTCATTTATACCTACTTTTAATGATGTGAGTGGTTATTTTTATATTTCATCCAGTTGGGCGGCAGTTTCTACTGTTTGAATTTGGATAAATTTTGATACTGAGCTCTTTTAATACAGTCGACTCCTGATAATTCAAACCGTTTAGGGAAATAGAAAAAGTTTGAGTTATCGGGAGTTTGAGTTATCAAGGGTAAAATTAAATGGAAAATGACCTGAAGGGAAATGAAAATTACTTCGAGTTATAGAGGGTTTGAGTTACCGGGAGTCGACTTTATTACACAGATGCCTACTTCAAAACTTTCTGAAAACTTGTTTTTCTGCTGACAGTTTATCATAAACAATGTATTAATGCACACAGATTCACAAATAAAGTTCATGTTGAAAAAGACTGGTTTACTTCACAGGTAGATGATGATGATCAGTCTGCAAATGAGGAACCACCCATTCCACCTGCAAGAAAGAAGGTACAGACTGTAACTGAACTAGTCTAGAACTGTTTTTTACAAGAGTGTATTAATTCTGACTTCACTAGCACAAGACATTCAACGTGAACGTGAATACTTCATTGAGACATTCAGTTATCCGATGTGGGTTTATCTGTAGGTGCATCAAATTTACTACATTTATGGATCCTTACAAAATAGTGTTACAGGTTCTAGGCTAGGATCTGTGTCCTGTCAAACACAGGGCTCCAAGCTGCAACTATGACAAAGAGAAAAATAAAAACATTTCTTAACTAAAATTGCAGCAGAGTCACCAATTTGATGTCCTGTCTTCAACAGTCATATGCTAAGCTGCAGTGCTTTTGTTAGCAGTGTTTATAGACTTTTTTAGCTAAAGGTAGATCAACATTTTGCTCCTCATGCCCCAATTGCACTGTGGTCACTATACCCTTGCAGTGCATCTTACAAAAAGTTCAGTTCCTACATTCGATGATGGATTTTAGGTTACTTTGTTTTTCAAACAAGGTAACTAGATAGTACGAGAAACACCATTGCAGTATAGCATGGAGAGAGACTGATGTTGAATAATGCAAAAATCCCGTTAAAAGATTAAATAGACCACAAACATCCCATATCAACCTGCAGGCCAATGAAGTTAATAATCAGTTTCATGTCCTCTTTTGTTCTTTTTTTAAGGTTCCAGTTGCGAGATCAATTTCTGCTGGTCCCATAAGCCCTGTCAGCAAGGACCAGAGCATTGATATGAATGGACCAGTAGTACCTGAGAAAGTCCTCAAGAGTATTCAGGTTTGAACTGATGGTTAAGTCTAGTTATTGTGGGCTCCTCTTGTCACCCACAGTCGTACTTTCCAGGTTGTTATTATGCATGAACGGCACGTATGTAGCCAGCTTAGTTTGGACTTCCACAATGAATGAATGGAATGCACAGAATGCAATCTGATCACCCTCATTTATACTCTCTATCACTCATGATCTGATCACCCATATTTTGACCATCTATCATGTGAAACATACACAAAGCACAATGTGGGAGCAAAAGCGTTTTGCCCTTTAGCTGTTGTTGCCTGCTTTCCATAACCTTTGGTCATTAATAGAACTTATATATCTCTCAGTTAGTAGGCACACTATGATTGGTCCTGATGAAGGTATAAACATCCTACCAATGTTGTTTTCTCAATCCATACTGTAAATTACAGAACCTTGTTTATCCACTTGCATTCATGACCTGCACGCTTCTCGCTTGCGCTGAAAATCAAAGCAGAAAAAACTAGGTCCATAACTTATGGTGCAGACCTGGAACTGGGTTAGTAAGAGGCATTTATATTCTTACCTTTGATGCTGACACTTGACAATCCTTGACATTCTCCATGGAAACACTTCTCAGAAACACAACAAGGCTCAAATACATTTGGGATAGTCACCGGTCATGTTGACTGGCGAGAGAAATTATAGCTCGGTCATATCTGTCTTCTCACACTATCAAAGTATGAATGTCGTAGCTTAACAAACCAAAACATAAAGTGAAAAAAGATGAATGTCCTCTTGATCAGAACTTGTAATGTTGTGAAAATGTATTGTTTTTCTGGTCGCTAATGTTTACAAGTCCGGTCAAAATGGCCGTCCAGCAAATCGAAAGTTTGTTCAAACAAATGGCCATCTTAGCCGGACATTATTGGTTGACCGGCCGTTATTTTGTGCCCTGCACAATCTACACAATTCTTTGTACATGTGCTCTCATTGCTACCCTATCCTTCCCCTGCACTAGTCTAGAGGGGCACTGATGATACCAATGGGTCATTAATTTTTGGTTTTCAGGATAACCTGAAAGAAACAGAAGAGAAATACAGGAAAGCAATGGTGTCTATAGCTCAGTTGGATAATGAAAAGCAAGCTCTCTTGTATCAAGTGGACTGTTTGAAGGACAGGTACAACACTATTATATTGCACCTTTATGACATTTTAGTATAAAATTGATAATAATAATAACTTTATTTCTTTTATTATTATATTATTATTATTATTATTATTATTATTAAAGTTAATGTTAATGTTGGCAAGCAATATCATGTTAGCCTGCAGATCACTGTGTTTTACCTCATGTGGTATCTACTCACTTTGCACTTTGCCTAATAATATTACACAAGTATGCCCTCCAATTCGAGACTTTCCTTCATTGCTGCAAGTTCAAGCAGCAAAGTTAACCCCCCTCACCCTTCCATTATTGGAGGCTTCCCGTAGTTGCTTGTTTTGTTTTCAGTTCCACCATTTCTTTTGATGCATTTAAATGCAATTTAAAGGAGTTAACAACTAAGAGCACCTTGAGTGCCTGAGGTCAGCAGTCTTTAGCATGCGCATGCCCAGGAGCTGGTTACGTCAATCATCTGATTCATTGGCGCGTTCAGTTTTCCTTTGTGCCAGTGGAAGCCCCTGGAGTGCTCCAGGCACCCAACCTCCATTTTATCAATGCAGTTGCTAAATTGCTTTTAAGTTTAACTGTCTTGGTGTTCTATGAAAAAATTAAGGGCTGGGAATTTCTGCGGGGAAAGGCATCCCTTAAGCCTTGTGCTGAAGCCCTGTCAGGGAAAAGCATGGGAATTCTGCTGGACTTGGTTAACTTGGCCAAGGATATAACCCCTAGCCACATGGGTGTTTGAACCATGTTCGCCATGCAGTACACGGCACAAGGCGCCTCTTCTGCATGACACTATATGCGGAGACCCCTCATCTGGTGGGTTATCTGGGAATTGGTGAGTTCTATCTGAGCTGGCTTTTCTCTGCCCAACTTTGCCCATCAAAGCCTTATGTATTTCATTTTTTCTTTGTCGGTGCACCATAACATTAATAGAATATGAATATCAGTGCACTGGCATATGGCTTGCCATAATGTAACTCTTTTGACTGTTTTTACTTTTGTTTGTAGGCTGGTTGAGGAAGAGGAGATTTCGGGTGAAGTGAAGGCTGAGTTTAAAGAAAAAACAAAGGTACTGAAAAATGGTTTATTCTGTTGTTTGTTTGTTTGTTTGCTTGTTTTATTCGCCACACAATAATGGAAGTTACAAATGATATAACTAAGAAATGTAGAAGTGGCAAGGAGACCTAACAGAAACTATAGAGCCTTATGAGCGGTTAGGTCTCCTTGAACTACAGGCTATCTACAATCGGCGACAAAATTGTTGAGACATTGTACTTAAATAGGGTGACTTCGGAGAACAAAAGAATCCGCACCCCTCCCCTGTCCCCTCCATTCAAAGTTGGGGTGTTTGTTGTTTTCTATAGGTAGCTAGAACAAGGGCCCAACATTGTACGGAGGGGATGGGGGAGGAAAGCTATATTTCCTCCTTTTGAAGTTCAAAAAACGTAAAAAAGCCTACTTTTGGGCGAAGTGTCTCAACTCATTTTGTCGCCGATTGTAGCTGTTTTCCTCAATTGAAGACAAGTTGGGGTAAAGTCAAAAGTGGAAATGATTTAAAATTGGTTGTCATACTAACCGGGACTTGATAATTTAGTGTTTAGTATTTTCTTAAAGAGAATGAGAGTTGATGTCTTCATTGTCAAGTGAGTTAAAAAACTTGGGTCCTTGAACAATAGCGCAGAACTAATTCATGAATGACAACTGAGCTTACTTTGTTACAATATTAGGGCTAAACATTCATAGAAATGGGCTGGGAAAAAATTGCCTGGTTAAATGTAATTTGGCATAAAGTCATGACAAACAGAAAGAGGAGATAAGCATTATTCAGCACATCATCACTACGAAATTACCCAATCAACAATGTGAAAAAGTTATTATGTCTGTTATGGTGTTCATTTTCAGGAAAACAGTAAACTTCAAAAGACCATCAAAGGGCATGAAGAGGAGATTAAGAAGCTGAAGGAGGCTATTGAATTTAGAGATAATTTCCTGGCGGTAAGTCATGTTCTAACTTATCATTCTGACAACTAAATACACAGTGGACAAACAATGAAAATAGACAGTGAGTCATGAAAAAAAACAGGGGGAAAATAATAATTAGTGGTTCAACTCATGCTTATGGTTGAAGCTGTTTAAGGTGGCTCGATACAGTTTTTAAGGGTCAATGCCTCCCAAGTTTGAGCATAAACTACAGACATCGCCATAAAAAAAGATTTGGAATAATTGCCACCACAGTTGTATTAGGTAAAGATGAAAATTTGTTCTGATATTATTATTATTATTATTATTATTATTGATCAGGGTGCCATTGGAGTAGTCATAGCAACAAAATGATGCCATTACCTATTTTAATTGCACTGTAAACTGTTCTGACAAAATTGTTCACGGGAGCTTTTTCCTCCAATAGCCACTATGATGTTCGTGAAATTTAAGTAAAATCTGTAAGGGCATTGTTGAGATCTATATTATTAATTGCAATTATTTTTCTAGTAGTTAATCCAGCTTGGTAGGTGTACGGGCTCAATCTGCTGAAATGAATTGAAACCAAATGATACTTGAAATCTTAGACCTCTAGTAGTCCCTTACTTCAATCAACAGGGCTCAAGAAAAGGCCCGTCTGGTAGTCGAGGACGGGTAGATTTTTTTTTCTGCAACTAACACTCTCAAGCTTACTTGTCCAGCAGGCAGGGTCAAAGCCAGTCATCCACTAACAAAATCATTAACTAAGACACGCAAGAAGTGGCCCGGGCGGGCAAAATGTGGGAGCTACTTACCCAAAGGATATGGTGGATTTCAATTTTTTTTTTAGCTCTGAATCAAGGGGTAGTAAAACATGAAAAATACCACAAGCATGCACGAAAATCACCAAGCACATGGAATAAAGAAAATGATGCATGTTTTTTCCTCATCTTTTGAGGGGCGGGTCATAGGCTTTGTCATTCTCATCAATATGTTGTGATTTTTGTGCCGTTTCAGGAGCGGGGGCTTTCTCTTTATGAGGATCAGGAAATCAAGGATGAAAGTGTTGAATCCAACACAGCGACACTTAGAGATGCGATTAGCTTAGCTGTTCCTGATGAAACTTCTTCAGGTAAAAATGTACCGTACCACTGTAAATAAAACCACATAGCGTGATAGGAGTCTGCTTCCTCAATTAAAATGCTAAACTACCCATTAAACAGGCACAATATTATGGTTGTTTCTGTAAAATTATTGTACAGGGGATGGTTTGGGAGGCATAAACCCTGACACCCTCCCCTCAAAACATTTTTTTACATATGAAAGCAAGATGGCCACCCAAACCGGTAAGAGCTCAATCCTGATGAAAAGAATGGGGACTGTGAACAGTCTAGTGATTTATAAAGTTTAACATGTTCCTCTTTGTTATTGATGACACAGACCGAAGTAGTGAGCCCCCCAAAAGTCGCTCGAACAGTCGCCGTCCCTCCTTATCAGATGAAAAAGAAGTTTTAGTCTTACAGGTAATCAATTTAGTTCTATTTGTTATGTACAAGAATAGAGCAAATAAATCCAGTTGAATTTTAATAGGCCTTGAAAGTCTGGAATTGTTTGGATTCTATTCATTTTATGTTAAATACTTTGGGCGTGATAGATTCAACCGAAATTTCTGGAAATTTCGGTCCAAAACTCAATGGATCAGTTTGGTCCAACCAGAAAAGTTTCGAAAAAACGGTTCCACCTTTTGAGGTGGACCACTTTTCCCGGTCGGACCAGTTGGAATTTTGGTTGAATGGATCGCACCCTTTAGGCCACTTAAGGCCACTGTTAACGTTGTTACAACAAAACTTGCTTGTAGAACATTGTAAACAAAACATAGCAGTTTTAATTAGACTTTTTTTCCATCTGTAGATTAAGAATCTTCAAGCTGAAGTATTATCTTTGAAGAAAGAAGAGTCTGATATGCCTAAAACGATAACAGCTGATTTAGAGGAACTTAGAAGTAAGTTGGTCTATTCTTACAACTGTACACATTGATCAGTGAGGTGCTGTTTGACCCCATTGATCCATACATTGCTAAATCCCCTACATTTACTCTTAAATTACAAGTGCTAACACGAACCAATTTTGTGTACCTTGGGCCTAATTCTTGTTGGAAGGTGATGGTAATGTTCACTTTTAAGAACTTGTGACAGCTTCTAAGAATGTTTCAGAGCTTGTTTAAGTGGGGGGAGTTTTGGCAATTAAATGAAAGTGAATACAACAAAGATGTTTGTGAAGAGTTAAAATCTGAGCGCAAAACCTACGTATACCCGTCCTTCTAACAAAATCTCTACACCCTTGCCGTTAATTTCCTCTGTGTACTACCTTTACCTTTCTTAATATCTCTTCCACTGCTGCAATCAAAATGTAATGACTAATTCTAACCGTGAAACAATGTCTTAATGATTCCATCCTTGCATTATCAACCACTTTCAATAAATCGCTGACTAATAATTTGTAACAGTTAATCGCTTACCTCATCTGTGGTTAATTTCATTCACTTACTAGAATTCATTAAATTAATTTCCATTTTTTTTTGTTTTTTGTTTTTTGCACTTTATCACGTTACTTCCTGTTATCACTGCTAATATATTTAACACCTCAGTGTGATAGCATCAGTTCACTAACATTCAGAATGGTTACTTATACCATACGTTATCAAAACCAGTGCCATTCTTTTTAGTTATGAAACCCAACAACTTCTTTATTGTGACTGCTTGTTTGATATGGACGAGAGTAGGCATCAGCCCTCGCTCATCTCCCGTTAATAAGAGTGGCCCAACATCAATTTCCCGTTAACAATCTTAATACTTAATTAACAGAAAACTCAAAAGGCTATGAGAACGAACAAAATGACCACCAAGAGGGAAATGCCATTATTAATAAAAATTAATAAGAACTTCATTCAAATGATTCTTTAAGGAAATGTATGAGGATAAGTGGAGAATTTGAATGTGAATATTGGGGCTTAAAGGTCAGTACACACTAGGTAACGGAGTAACGTGTTGCTGCAACTAGTCGCCCGACCTGTACATATGGAGTGATTTGTCACCGCGACTTGTTGCGTAGTGTGTTCGTGGAAAAGGGACATCTGGATGGATGTATGGTCAACTACTATCCTTTCTGGATATCTGAATGACATCCTAAGCAAAGCCCTTCCCTCCCCCAACCCCGAAACCACCCCCACCCCTCCTGCCCTTCTCCCTCTTTACAAAGAATTTTGTCGAGAATAGGGGATATGATTAGTCCTTCAGCTTTATGACTTCTTAGACTGCAAAACAGCCCGGTCCAGGCACTTTACATGGCTAAAATCTCATGCCTTGCAAAACCGATTTTGAGGGGAAAACGACTGTTTTGCAGTGTAATGACTGTTCTTCTCACCTTGCAACAGATGCATTATCTTCACTCTTCCCACACAAGGACAAATCTGTACAAACTGGAAGACAAACACAGTTGAAGACCGCTGTCTCTCCCCCTTGGGCGTCGCTCTTTTTTACTACAGGTTGTTACGACAATTGCAGGCATGGGTACCGTTTAACCGTTCCTTAATTCCGTTTTTTCCATTTTCTTTTTCTTCAGGAGAATTTAGTAGGCAAATAAATGATTTCAAAATAAAGCTGCAAAAAGCTGAGCAAGACAATGCACGGCTTGAAGGACTTGTAAGTAGATTATGAGATTCTGGGAACTTTCCACCGACCCCTCCCCTAAACCAACATATTGCCCTATGGAAGAAGTTAGCGTTAGTGATGGTATAGGGGAGGGGTAGATGGACTGAACGACCTTGTCACTCAATCAAGACGCGTAATACACCTTGAACTTTTCAAATCCCGTAATTTAATCATTCAAATGAAACCTTTTTCAGCAGTACTTTCACATGGTACTATTTATTTAGTGCATATAGTCCTAACTTTTGAGTCTGTGGACGAAATCCTATGTTGTTACCATTCAAATGAAACCTCTTAAGCGGTACTTTCACATGATACTATTTATTTTTCAGAATTTTACAAAATGAAATTTGGAAATTTTTAAGGGAAGGTGCTCCTGGGAGTGAAATAATAGAAAATGATTCTAAATGCCCTGCCCATCTCACCCCACCATGTTTTCCCCTTGTAATCGTAAGGGCTTCCGTGACCGCACCAATGAAGGTGACACCCACGAGCCGAGTAAAAGTGGCCTTTAAATTAGCTTGGGACCAGGCTCCGCCGTGTGGGAAAAAGGCGAAAAACGGGGTGAAATAGAAAAAATATCGGCGAGCGAAGCGAGCCGAGCGGTTGCCTGGCGCCCTTTTCCCCTTCCCAGAATAGCTCTCGGCTGACTTCGCCCGCCAATTTTTTTTTTTTCGCCCACGCTGATTTTTTTCACCTTTTTCCCCCAATGCGGAGCCTGGTCCGAGGCTACCTTTGAATAAAACCGCTAGATTCTGGACTCTGGCTTAATCAGTAGGTTGAGTAGGGAGTCGTTCGTAGGATCGAACAAATAAGTTTATCTTGAGTGATGCTGTGTTTTAAAGCAGTCGTCAAATCCCACACTTTACGGTTAAAGTAGAAAAACTGTTACAAATTATTATTCAGCTTCATTGTTATTGGAGAACTTAAAATTTCTTTAGCAAGGCGTGTTCTTATGGTGTATTCATTCCTCCTCTGTATTTGCCCTTCTTTTCGACTGTCGCCGTCGTTGTAACAAGTGATGTAAACGTAGTGGGATTTGTATTGTTTTCCAGGTGGCGAGATTGGAAAGCCAGGTGAAACGCTACAAGACTCAAGCGGAGGCCGCGGTAAGTTTTACAAATACCTTTTTCGTGAAGGTTGTTTGTCAATGCGTAGTTTTCTTACACGTTCCCCTCTGCGTCGCTAGCGAGATTTGTAAGCGAGTACTGTAGCTTGTTGGCGGCGGAGCCATGAGAAGATTGGGAGCAGGTCTAATTCCCTGGTGTCTTCGCCGCTCGCAAAAAACCTTCGAGGACGTTTGGCCACTCGCTTCGTCCCCGGGCAGTACAATCCCGCCTTCAGCTCAGGCTATATTAGCTTACGGGCTTGCCCAATTTGGTTTTCTCTCCACGCGTGTGGCGGGCGAATTTTTTACACGGCTTACATCACTCGCCTTTTACGTGCGTAAGTCCTCGTCGGCATGCTCTGCGCAGGCTTCATTACCCGTTACGTTTTTTAGATTTTCATGCAGTGCTTCTTACTAGGCGCGAGCTTTAGCAACGGCAACGAGAACAACAAACAAGCAATAGGTTTAGACTGGCAAAATAACAACTTTGCACCTGCAACACACTTTTTTTAAAATTTCCTTGCCGTCACTGCACGTCTACGAAGACGTGAAAATCGCTATTTTTACGTTTTATGGAGGACGTAAACAAGCCTCGACAAATTTTTCTATTTCTTTCTAAACTTGCGTTTGGCCCCCAAGAAACAAAGTCCAGGGAATTCGCCTACTTTTGGCATTTTCAGCAAACTGGAATAAACGCGACAAAGTTGGAAAAACTGGTGCGAATTCATTTTTATAGTGACGTTTTCGCTGCCTTTGCCGTCGTCGATGCTAAAGTCCCCGCTGAGATAAGGCGTTGCGTAAAAGTCATGCAGTTGCATAGAATACGGACATAAGACAGGATCGTTTATATTGGAAGACTTCTGCTCTAAATTTTTTTATCACTGTGATTTGATGTTCAACTTTGTAATTTTCCTGTAGGAAGCAACGGAGGATTCACTGAAGGCTGAGAAGCGAAAACTTCAGCGAGAGGTGTGTTATTCAATTCTTTTTCTTACTAACGTGCACTGTAGGCGTGTTTTCGGGTGCGCGAATGTTTTTGCGCGCGTAACCGCTTCGTTGAATTCTAAAACAGTCGGAGAGTTGGGGCGACTCAAAGGGGACAAGGAGAGAAAACAGAAACCTTTCTTCTTCTCTCCCGTTCTTGTAGAAGAGGCAGGTCAACAATCTAAATTGATTATCTGCAAAGGGGATTATAACCTATCACTGTCGATTTGAGGGAAAAACTAGAAATAAATAAATAAAATGCTATAAAATATCTGTTAGTCCTGTGAAGGGAGATTCTCACAGCTTTTTTAAAGGACTTGGCGTCTCTTGCCTCAATTACACTTGCGAGAAGTTTGTTCCGGTCTTTCATTTTCTCGTCAGAAAGCTGTATTATTTGTAAGTGTTTGTTTGGTTACCTAAAATAAGTCAGTTTTTAAACTTTTTCGCGCAGAAGTTCAAATATTTAATCTCGTTTGTCACCTTTTTTTTGCTTTTTTGTTTTCTTTTTTTGCAGCTTCGTAAGGCACAAGACGAAATAGGTGAATTACAGACGGTCAATGATCATCTACAGAAAAGATTCGATAAACTAAAGAGTAAGCGAAAGGATGATACGTAGTGCTCAGTACTGTTATAGTTTAGGACATTGATTTCTGGTGAAAGGAATCGCAGATATACTTGCAATTAAACAGAAGGTTCGATTCAAGGAAGGCCAAGAAAATAGCTGATAAAACGCATCAGCAAAGATCTTACAGGCCTCCGTCGGTATTGGCTACAATTCGTCACCCATCAATCTTGATGGAGTAAATGGAGACAATTCGTGCGTTCCTGTCGCTTAAAAACTATTTTACAAAAATACTTCTTTGAGTGACTGGGAAAGTACGTTTTTCATTCGTTAAAAACAGGAAAAAAAACTTATAATGTAATTCTAAGTAAGATAGAAAGTAATTTTGTATGCGCGAGTTTGTTTTATATTTTTGAATTAGTGGTCGATGAGATGTATGTAGAGGCTTTGGTTGAGTACCCGATGTAATTTTCACCGTGGTGATTTGTACAAAATCTCGCGTCACTGTTTGAACCAATCGGAAATAAAAGCTCGCCCGCACGATTTTTCCCGCGCTTTGTGCTGGCTACCTGTGTTTCACTTCTGATTGGTTCATTTAATTGTGAAACTCTGCTTTGATTGGCCAGAGTGAGTACCTTGGTTTTGCTCAGGCGCAATTACCAGCCGCTGTTCGAGAGATGCTCCTGCACTCCTCCCAAATCTAACGTTCGTTTCTTTTCGGGAGGGTCGAAGACCAGACTCGATAAAACGGCGGAAATCAAGCCCAGAGTCTACGGTGGTCTGTTAAAAGGGAGAACACTGATGGGACACGTTCGATCTGATTTGAAAACTGCTTTATGTAACACATGTAGCAAGTGCGGTATGACTGAGTGAAGAAAACTAATTTGTCATTTACTTATCCCACACCTAAACTCACCTAAGTGACATTAAAGAATCCATATGAAGGGAATTTATTTCCGACGGTTTAATTAATTGCACCACATAAAGAACCCTCTCTGTAATTTTTCACTTTAGTGAGCTGATTATACTTTTGATATCTAAGGGTTAAACCCCGTAGTGCATACAGAATATAAGCAGGGTTGTATAGACAGGGATAAAAACTAGCGTGCGAGGAAGAAAGTTTCCCCCATCCCCGCCCTGAGGGCTTGATCACAGGCTGGGAAAAGCCGGGGAATCACTTTCAAAAAACGCACGTTGAGTGTCAATGTATTTAGCGCCAAAGTGCTTATTAAGGGCACTATTTTGACGTCTTGTAAGGGAGGCAAGACCGCAGAACAAAGGCAGTACCTTCCTTTCTGAGTTATTTTTAAGAGACCCCGAATATAGGTCCGGTCCCGGTGCTCAAACCAACGATCTCCCACAATGCAGTCGGTCTACCGACTGAGCTAGTCCTGCAGAAGTCTGGGGACATTTTGGCTGTTGGCAAAGACGGTGACTGGTCAATTTACTAAAGGGTTTCATTTTTAAGCTTATAGAGAGACATTTCCTAAGGAAAAATCTGTACTTTTTATTCTCCAAATGATTTCCCTCAAAAATCAAGAAGTCGAAAATGAAGGCAAGAGTATTTATGGCCTGCACACGAATCTGAAGAAAATGAAAATGTGAGATAACATATACAATGTCAGTGAATATCGTTCAAAGGTCAGAAAAAAAGCAAGAAAGGAACTTCTCTGTTTTATGTACGGACTCAGATACTGGGGCCACCATGTAAAAATATATTCTGGGATGTTTTAAATAGCCGGTTATTGGTCATTTCCCTTGTTATTACATGGTAATGTACTGGCCATTTCTCCCTTATAATTGGCCTTGAAAAAAGGACCGTGGAAATCTAGTTTTTGCTGCTTTACTTTTACCGACTCAAACAATTACCATAAATCCTCTATTAAGCCCCCCGCTCCAATAAGCCCTCCCTTTTCAGCGAAAGAAAGTTAACCCTCCCCCTCACCTCTTTCTCTTTTACGCCCGACTCCCCCTTATTACTGTTCACTAATAAGTGATAGACTGTATTAATCAATTACGACTGTAAACCATCGTGTGGACTGATCCAGAATGGTTTATTCACCAGCTGGAATTACAGATTTGTTTTTGATCCTCGTCTGCAATAGTCTGCGAGCAAGCTCTCCTATTTGGGCAAGCGAAGAGAGCCTCGGAGCCTCGGCCCCTCGCGGCTTCGCCATTTGCTCGCGCGTTCTCGCGAGACTCGCTTTACTCTCCCAAATAGGGGAGCTTGCTCGTAGGCTACGTCTGCATGGCCTCTAACCGTTGTACTTGAGCTTTCTAACCTGGCATTCTTGTTTTTATTGAGAACTGATACCATCGTCTTTGCTAAGTTAAATAAGCTTCTAAAAACGCCCCCGTCTCTGTTAAGCCTCCCCTCCTCCCTCGAATGGGTTTGAAATAAATAAGCCCCCCCTAGCCTACGTGGCAGGCGTTCGAAAGTGGAAGGGAAAGGGAATTAGGCCGCGAGGGAGGAGGGAGGAGGGCGTTCTCTCGCGCCTAAAACTCCCTTTCACAAAGCTCCCTTTCCCTTCCCTTTCAAACGCCTGCCACGCAGGCTACCCCCTCCCCCCCCCGGGGAGCTTAATTGAGGATTTTGTGGTAGAATACATCTGTAACTAAGGTCGCCTTGCAAAAATAGTCCGGGATGTTTTAAAAGCGGACTAGAAGCGTCGGCCCAGGTATTGAAAGCCGGGTGGCAGTTATTACTGCAGGTCGAACTTGTACACGCATTCTGTAAAATTACTGGGTGACGTTCATCGCATGCAAGTGCAAGTGTCGTATTACTCCGGTGCGTCCCCCCCTTGGTAAGCCATGCAGTGCTCTTGTATAAATACTGCATGTCCGTAAAACTACGTGGCTTAATCTGATGATCAGTAGATCACGCTATTTATGCAGCAGCTAAAGTCCATCTAAACCGGGCTAAACACGTTAGTTCAAGTTGCAGTAAGTAGACTACAATTTCTCCAAACTGCATCATAACCAGTCATTTTAAAGTTGAAAGATGTTGTCGGTGCCAAATTCCTCGCTTTAGTTATCGAATCCCTCGTTATACATTATATTTGCCTCCCAAATTTTGGTAAAATGTTTCTTATTGTTCTTGGGAATACGTAAGCCAGGAGCACTTGAAAACAATACTTTATGGAAATTTCGGGGGCAAACAGGGCGTACTATTTTACATACATGTAAATGCGATGTGCTTGCGCATGTTTACTATACCCAAGTTGCCGGTGAGATTATAACTTTATGACGGAATTGTAAGGATGATTAAATTGGTAGGGGCAATAGCTAGAGCCAAAGAAACGACGAGCTCTGGGGACGAGACTGACAATGCAGATGTCTTTCCGGTTCCGCGCGGAAGTAACAAATCCGTTTGTGTCTGTGTAATATAAAAAGTTGGCGCGTTTAGACCCGCGACACTTGACGTTTTGATATAGTTTTATACCCCTACTTTTTGACGATCGGGCAGTGTTGATATGAAAGCCCACTGCATAAAACTCTGGTTGTCTATTATGGTTTGCTCTTTGGCCAAAACGATTATGTATTGATGTTCAACTCGTTCTCACTTGCAGTTCGCAAGGCCCGCAGGCGTTTATGCATGTGGCGCGCTGATAGTATTTTGTTGGGTTTATTTTTTTTATCATCAGCGAGGAAGGCATAGGCTCAGCGTTACGACGAAAACCGGCAAAGGAGAAATTTTTGGTTGCAAAATTTTAGAGGCGAAAGACCCTGGAACAGTCCTATCTGATTAAATGACAGTTGATTTCTTCGATAATTCGCTCTAGGGTTGTAAGTTATAATTTAGGGGCCGATATTGCCTAAGCACTTAGCATATGTTTAGTACAGTATTAATAACAAAAGGTTATTTTTTTATGTGGGCATCATTGAGAGTAATAGTTCCTATGTGACTGAGATATAAAATGATTATACTTGCCGAAAAAATAGTAGTTCCGTTTATCGTTTAAGAATACCGTAGCAGTTTCTTCATTTTCCGACAGCCTTCTTCGTCTTCTTAGAAGCCTGGATCTCTGCAAATGCCAGAGACAGCGATACCAAAACTGTCAGAAATTTTTTTCGTTGTTTTATGTTGTGTGAACTAAAAAACTTGGGTGTGTTCCTTTCGGCGAATCCAAAAACGGATTTTTGATCCTAGATTTGCCAAATTTCGCTGTCGAAAGGAACGTGAAATCCGAAATTGGATTTGTAACCTTGGTAACCTTTCGCCAACGCGTGCAATATGCATGACAGCCTCTCAAAAAATGACGTGTTTTCTACTGTCTGACAAATTATGCGATTGTACCGTGCAGAATTTAGTGGTCGGCAGTTCGAATAGCGACGATGGAACATGTAAAACAGACAAAGAAAGAAGCGCATTAAAATTGAAAATTATCTAAAGAATGTCGGCCTGTTTGATCCAGTTCCATAGCCCGGATTTTTTTATTTAACACGATCGAGTGCCTGTCGCGTCTACAAGCGAGTTTGTAGTTAGATAGCAGTTCATTTGTTACTTTTACTATTTCTGATTTCAAGCAATCTTTAGAGACAAATGGTTAGTATATGGATATTTTAATGTACCAGGAACAATCTTCTAATGTTTTCAGATGTTTTGCGGCAAATGACAGCAACGAGGAAACCCTACGGCCTCTATGGGAATACTTCAACTGGAAATCCCGCTGGATCATCTGACTAATTTCGGATCCACTGTGAATGGAACAGCGTAGATCACTAATCCGTTAATCTGGATTTGGATTCTTCGGATTTCAAATCCAATGAATCCTTTTTCAAAAAGGATTCACCAGATCAAAAATCCGGATTTGGATTTGCCGAAAGGAACGCGAAATCCGTTCTTAGATCTAGAATCCGTTTTTGGATTCACCGAAAGGAACACACCCTAAAAGGGAAGCCTGTTGATATAGACCAGCTGTTTTCACTGCATGCAAAGCGGAAGTAACTTGTGTCATGCATGAGGCACCCCCGTATGGTTCCACTGTCTTCACCGTTGATGGCCCTTTCCCCAATAGAAAGTCTATTCAACTAAGCATTAAAAGAAAACAACAAACCGGTACCACCGTATCTGTCCATGTGGCCGACAAAGTCAAGCTATTCCCATAGTGTGACAATTTCTACGTTTGTTTCTTCAGTTCATGTTCTTGAACAAGGCGCGTTAACCGGAAGTTCGGCCTTTTCACTTTTTAAATATGCCACGATGCTACCAAATTTGTCGTGCTACGTGTCTTGACAGAGACAATTTCCCCAAAACGTTGAGCAAAAGCACTTGCTAAGAATGATCAAGAATGCAAGAAGACCACTTTCCCTGACGTGCCGTCTAGTTTAATATTGGTCACATTTTATAAATCAATTTGTACAATTTCCGGATCGATAGGTATAGTTTCTCGATCATCGAGAAACTTAGCCACAGCATACAAACTTATTCGGAAAAAGGTATATTATTGTTTCTCACAGTAAAAGAAAACGTTAATTGATTTAATGTTTGGAATTTGTTGAATATTTCTTAACATATGAGCGAATTTTTCGGCAAAATAAGCAACAGACGGATGAGATAAGGAAGAGGAATGGTGTCAAAGTCCATTTACGACCACGTGCGAATGCCTGGTTGGTGATCTTTTCACGTGAACAGTGTGACTCTTTCCCGTGAAATTCCCGTAGCCACCAATCAGAAACTTAGAAAAACGCGCGAAAATTTACTAGATTTATCAATTTTGCATTATCGTCACCATAACAAAACCTAGTAAATACACAAACCTTCGCCACTTCGCGTTTGATCGTAATTCAACTGGTACTAGTACAGTGTGAAATCTAATTTAAGCGATCCCAATGGCATTAGTCTTTGATGAAGCTGTAGAGGAAGATGTCTACGAGACTCCGAGTGATTTCTCTGAATTTCTAGAGTTCACTAATCGCTTGAACATACCGCTAAACGAAGAGTATTTTCGTGAATTGAAGGCCACCTGGTTGAAAAG